GGGGGGGGGGGGGGGGGGGGGGGGGGGGGGGGGGGGGGGGGGGGGCGCCGCAATCATGGATAGAAACTTTGAGACCCACAGGGCCAAGCATTCTCACTTGCCAGAAGAATTGGGAGCGAGGGAAGAGGCAGAGGGTCAAAGACATCCAGGCAGCTGTGGGCGGAGAAATCTGTCAGGGCGTGGGCGCTGGCTTATCAATGACGCACCCCCCCAAACAGTTTTTTCCGTCCACCTGCTGTTCTCAGAATACTCTCCGCGGATGCTCCAGCCTCTCCAGCGTCCGCGAGAGCCAAGCCCCGTCGCGCTTTAGGCCCCGTAGGATCTCGGGCTTCGGCATTAGAAGGGGTGACAGAGAGAAGCGGACACCCCCAGCATGAAAAGAGGAAGCACTCTGGCAGCGCTGGCAGCGAGAAGCCGTGTGCCGGTGGCGGAGGAGGGCTCCAGCGGGCACGCACGCGGGCTGGTGTGCATCCTGCAGCGGGCTCCCCTTCCCAGGCACCTCAAGTAACGGTTCTGTTCTCTCCCGCCAGAGTCACTCTGCATACCTCTCAGGCCTGTACGGAGCCCCCCAGATCGGCGTTTTCCCACATCAGCACCCTGTGAGTGACCCACCCCTCTCCCCACGCTGCTCTTGGCCTTTTTCTTTCTTTCTCTGAAAATAGAGGCTCGTATTTTTCCAGTGCTTTTAATGTCGCAAAGAACCGCGTGTTGCTTATTATCGAGAGGCAGCATGGGGCGCTATATAGGGCACGAGACTTCAGCGCGAGAGGTCCCAGGTTCAAATCCTGCAGCTTTGGGCACATCCAAGCTGTGAGATCTTGGGCAAGTCACCTAACCTCTCTCAAGGCCTGAGCTTCCTCACCTGTAAAACGAAGGGGTTGGTTTTGGTGGCAGCCAGGGTCCTTTCCGGCTGCACATCCGTGGCCCCAAGATCTCACTGATCCTGGCAGCAGGGGGCAGAGCAGAGCACAGAAGGAGCAGTGCTGGCCAGTCCCAGGACTCAGATTCAGATCCTGGCTGTGTCCGTGAAGTGGTAGCCAGGTGACCTTGAGCGAATGACGTTACCTCCCTGGGCCCCACTTCCTCCTCTATAAAATGAGAGAACTGGCCCTGCTGGGTCCCTTCCAGGGCTAAAGGCATCACCATGTGACCAGGCCTGTGCAGGGCACCTTAGGTACCACCTCCATTCTGCAGAGGAGGAAACAGAGGCTGAGGGTGGAAATGAGTCACCCAAGGTCAACGGCTAGTGTCACGGGTACAAGATTTTATTTGTTAACAATGACAACAACAGTGGTAATAATAACTCACATTTATGTGATGCTTTAAGGTCTACAAAGCACTTTATCTTTTTTCATTTGATCCTTTGGAAAGTAGGTACTATTATCCCCATTTGACAGATGAGGAAACTGAGGCTAGCTCTAAATCTAATTGCTTTGGCTCCAAGATGGCTGGCAGTTCTTGGGGCACTCAGCACTTTCGGTGACACTCCCTGGTCAGACAGATGGCTGGACATTTAGATCACACGTCTTGGCTCTGCCTCGTTCATGTTCAAAGCTACCTTGCTGGGAGAGAAACCCCCGAAAATCAGCTGGCAGGCTCAGCCTCTGGGTTGGGGTGCAAACCTCTCCTCCCTAGCAAGCCACATGGCAGCCGACGTTGGCCAAACTGTCCATCCGCATCCATGAAGCCTTGGAAGCTGGCGACTCTGGAGGCCTTCCTCCGGGGCTGGCAGTGGCTGGGAGCCAGACTTGGAGCCAACACGCCACCCCTGGCACATCATGGCTGTGTGATCCTGGACAGGACACTCTCACTGCATCTAGGCACTCTCTAAGGCCTTCGGTGGGAAAGGGAGTTTCCTTGTCTGGGAGCTCCTCACAATGGTGAGATCCCAGGTCTAGACAAGGTGTCTCCCGATTTTGTGGTGACCGGTGCGGGCAGCTTGGGCTGGCAACTACTTGGATCTCTACCTCACTCCCAACGCCTTTTGTGCCTTTCCCTGGAAACAGGCAGAGGGACCGTTTCCAGGCTGGTCTGAGGTCACCAGAGATCTCCCTTTCCTCTGCTGGAAGGAGGACTTACGGACAAAGCCTTCCCACTGGGGAGGGTTGGGAAGAGACAGCCTTCTGGCCCGCCTGCTGATTCCAGTCCCTCCTCCCTCCTCTACCCATCCCGTTCTGTAACTCTTGTTCTCTTGGGAGCCCACCAAGACCCTCCCTCCCTCCTCCTTTCTTCTCTCCACATCAGCCGGACTGCAGCCGTCCTCCTGACTGCTTCATCTTAGCAGGTCTCCCAGGGCACAAGCAGGGCGGGGGTTCGCTGTGGCCACAGGATTCTGCAAGGACTGGTCTGGCTGCTCCTTAAACAGGCCTCTAACCTTCTCCTAGTTCACTCCTAGTCCTGAAGACTGGTCCTCTGGTATCTAACATCCCTTGGTCACATGGTCTGGAGGGCAGAGCACTGGCTGTAGAGTCGGGACCTGGGTTCAAACCCCCCCCCCCCCCCATGTTAATTACCTACGTGATCCTTAGTACATTTCACTTCCCTGAGTCTCGTTTTGCTCTTTTCTAAAATGGGCTGGGCGAGTGGGAGGGTAGAACAAGAAAGCCTCTGAGGCCGCTTCTCACTCCAGATCTCAGATTTTATGAAACCTCTCCAAGCATCATCCGAGGCAGCTGAACTAGATGGCCTCCCTTTTGTAGCCTCTGGGTGGTCCCAAATGGCCTCCATGTGCTCCAGGCTCCTTAGCTTTAAATTGGGGGCATAGGGTGGGTGTTGGACCTCAAGGCCTCTGAGGACCCATCCAGCTCTGGCCGATGTCGAGCCTGTTTTTGAGGGGATGTTCCTGTCTCTCCTCACCTCCCTCAGGTGCCTGAACAGGAAGTGGTATACCTCTTCATCCCCACACAGGCTGTCGGAGCCATCATTGGCAAGAAGGGCCATCACATCAAGCAGCTGGCCAGATTCGCTGGTGCCTCCATCAAGGTAAGGGGGCTCATTCGCTCATTCAGCATGCACTTATTAAGCACCTACTGTGAACCAAACACGGGGCTGAGTGCCGGAGACACACAGATGAAAGCAAACAGTCTCTGCCCAGGGGAAGCTTCTGCCCTGTGGATTCTTTCACCTTATTTTTTTAAGCATCTAATCTGTGAGAGGTGCTGGAGACAAGAGATCAGCAGTGAAATATTCCCTGCCTTCAAGGAGTGTCCATTTTACTTGGGGTTGGGGAGCCAGGCACGTCACAACATGTGGACTGGAAGAAGGAGGAGGGATCGGCTAAGCCACAGCCTCTGCGTTTCTGATCTGCAGTGCTGCTCGAGTTCCTCATTTAGAGGGGAAAGCCTTTTGAACAAAGGACTCTTTGAAAGGGATGAGCATCCTAAATGGGGAGGGGGGGCCCTACCCCAGTGATGCAAGCACAGCTGACATCCTTGGATTGCCAGAGAGGCCCCTTTGAGCCCGAGAAGGCGACCATCTCTGCATAGTCTGATCCCCACATTCTGCTTAATCCCTCAAAATGGGCAGTCATCACAGAGGCTGAGAGGGAAGGGTTCTTGGCCCCTGGCTGGGATGCCAAGCAGTCCCCCACTGCCTCTTTCAACACCCAGGCAGACAGAGCTTCAGGTGTTACAGAAAAGTATGGGCTCCCATGAGACAGCCTGGACTTCTGGAGGAGGGGGTGTCATGACTCAGAGGTAGAGAAGGCTACCACTCCTCCAGAGCTGGGCAGAGCTGGGATGGCAGTGAACATGTTGGAGGAGAAGATACTCTGAGTGGGCAGAAGGCAGAGCATCTGGGGCGAGGCGTGAAGGCGTTTGTCTCCCATCAGAACAAAGTTATTGAGTCCATCCTTGGAGAAGATGTGCCTGGGGCCTAAAAGGGAGAGTGACTCAGCCCAGGTCACACAGAAAGTTAGTGGCAGAGCCAGGACTAACACCTAGTTTGGAGCATTGGAAAGAGGGCTAGATTGGGAATCCAAGGCCCCAACTTCCAACCCATGGTCAGTCTGGCCTGGGGCAAGATGGCCCTCAGGTCCCTCCTCTCTCAAATGGGGAGCTCTAATCGTACCCCAAAAGGCCTGGAGTCAGGAGGACCTGAGGCCTCGTCCACTTACTAGTTGTGCGACTCTGGGAAAGTCACTTAATTTGTCTGCCTCGGTTTCCTCATCTGTAAAATGGGGATAATAATGCTATCTACGTAGGGTGACTTGCCCAAGTTAATGGCAGAGGTCTCATAGTTCCAAGGTTAGCTCTCTTTAAGTGGAAGGGACCTCAGAAAGCCATCTAGCCCAGCCCACTCATTTTACAGATAAGGCAACTGAGGCCCAGGGAAGCCGAGCGATTTATTCAAGGGCTGAAGGTAGGAAGTGACAGAAATAGGATTTGATCCCAAGTCCCTGGCACTGTAGTAATGGCAGCAGCTCGTGTTTCTTACGTCTTAGAATCTTTGACCAGGACTTCTTAACCTGAATTCATGGGTAGATTGCAGGGGGTCCATCAATTGGCATGAGAAAGAAAATTACGTCCTTGTTTTCAGTAATTTCCAACTGAAATTTAATTATTTAAAAACATGCTTCTTCGAAGGGCTGCCTCATGTTTCCCAGCTGGCTGCCGGGGACCTCGTCACAAAGAAGGCCGAGTATCCCTGGCGTGTGAGGGCAGGCCTTGTGTGCCCAGGGCCTGATCCAGACGTGCCGAGGAAGGTGCTGGGGGAGAGGCAGTGGCCATTCATCCTGCAGATGAGGCTCCCAAAGCTCACTGCAGAGTCAGATCTCCAGGACTGGCCTCCCCGCCCCTCCCCCTCGCCGCCTTTTGTCTGTGGCCACTCAGGAGAGCCGCAGAAGGGAGAGAGGCCTGCTCGTCTCCCTGGTATATGGGCAGTGTCCTTTTGGCAAGAGCAGTAGAAGTGAGAGGGCAGAGCTAGACCTTTAGCAACCAGAACAACAGCAGGCATTGATTAGGCACCTGCTGTGTGCCTGGCACTGTGCATACGAAGAAAGTAAAAGACAGTTCTTACCCTCGGGGAACTTACATTCCACTGGCTTTGTACAAACGGGATATTGGAGAGAATCAGCGGTGTAAATGCCGAGTACTTACTGTGTAACTAGGGTGGGGGTAGGACCAGGAAAGGCCTCATGAGAGGAGACCCTTGAGGTGGGCTTTGAAGGATGTCCATCCCAGGCATGCAAGACAGTCTCAGCGAAGGTGAGGAAGTGAGAAGTGGCAGGTTAGGTCAGTTTGGCCGGACCAGAGAGTGTGTGAGAGGGAGTAGATGACCTGGAATTGGCCCAAACAGGTGTTTATACTTGATCCAAAAACAACAGGGAGCCATTGAGATTCCTGGAGGACTGACGTAATCAGACTTGGGCTTTAGGAAAATCTCTTTGGCAGCTGTGTGGAGGATGCTAGATGAGAGAGCCGTGCCTGGGCTATGCTTAGCTGCACTGCCTGACAAATGGATAACGTGGCCAATTGAGGTGGGGGAGGGGGAGGGTCTTCCCAGCTTGCACTAAATAAGGAATCTGAATCATCCTTCAGTCACCAGGATGTGAGCTCAGGCAGGAGAGGTGACTTTGTCAGCAAAAATGACTCATGAATTGGTCTTTGGACTCTCCCCTGTCTGGGTGGCCACAAAGGGCCATGGGGTCAGAGCACCAGAAGACACTGGGGGTCACTGTCTTAACTTTTCCCCCCCTTCTCAAGACAAGGATGTGAGTTAATGCTGATTCAGGATCTTAACACGGTGGGCACAGTTTCAGTCAATGGGAAACCACCACCCGGCCCCATCTCTTTGCTCCTGGCCACAGGGCTTTGGGGCTGCTTTTACCCACCACAGTCTGGGCTTCTTGGGGGGTACAGGAGGGAAGGTGGAATTGGAGATTTTTTTCTTCTGCCAAATCCATGATTTCATTGGAATAGGGCCGGGTACAGTCATTCCCTCCATCCCCCAGAGATCAGTCACTCAGTAGGCATTTATTAAGTGCCTACTATGAGCCAGGCGTTGTACTAGGTTCTGGATGCATGCCATGAAAATGCAGAAACCCATCGCTCCTCCGGAAGCTTGCCTGGCACATGGTAGGTACTTGATAGCTGTTTGCTGAGTGAGTGAGTGGTTCTTCTGGAGGGAATTCAGTATGCATATAGATAATAGAAAGAAAGGATAACTGGAGAAGAAAGAAAGCTCTAACTTTCAGAGAAAGAAAGAAAAAGCCTCCTGAAAGAAGGGGCCCTGGAGCTGAGCCTTGAAGGAAGCCAGGGATTCTGAGTCAGAGGAAAGGAGAGAGAGTGTTCCAGGCAGAGGGGACAGCCCATGCAAAGCCTTGGAGGCTGGAGATGAAAGGTTTTGAAATGTTGTCTTCCTAAATAGTGAGGGCTAGAAGGTGGCAGACCTTGAGCTCGGGTCTTGCGACCTTGACCACACCAGGCAGTCTCTCACCCTGGACTCGATGCCAGGCATTGGAGATTTAAAGCCACAGAAAAACAGTCCATACCCTCAGAGAGCCTACATTCACTCAGGGGAAGATAACTTGTACAAATAAGTAGATACAAATCTATACAAAGTAAATACGAAGTAATTTCGAGAGTTCGAGTACAGCTAAGATGGCACCTGAGCTGTTGAGGAGGATGGAGATTATACCCGGCATGCTTGGGAGGGAGCATTTCCAGGCCTGGGCTCGGAGGTGGGAAGCCAGTATGGCTGGACTGGGGGGCCCCTATGGGGCAGTAATGTGGAAGCATTTGGAAAGGTTAGAGTGGATCAGATGGATTTCGAGAGGCTTAGAAATGCCCAGCAGAGAAGGGCGCCTCTTATCCAGAGGCGGGGGTGGTGGGGGGGGGTTGGAGAGAGGGTTAAGCAGACAATGTTTCAAGAAGGTCAGTTTGGCAGTTATGTGGATGGTGCATCGGAGAGGAGAGAGACTGAGGGCTCATGTACTGATCCAGGCAGGAGATGATGAGGCCTGTGGGAATGAGGAGAAGGGTTCTAATACACTAATGCAGAGTCTCCTGAAATAGCAAATCCTCTCCATCCCATTCTCAGCTTCCTCATGGCGGCCATCACTCCCCACTCTCCAATCCAGAAAGGCTTAGCTCTTCCTCTCGTCTAATAATAGCAATGGCCAGCGAAGTGGAATGTTGCCCCATCTCCTCCAAGCAAGGGCATGGCGGCTGTGGGGGGCGGGGAGGGATAGGCTCACGGCCCGAGACCAGCAGTTCTCAGATTGCTTGGTCTAAGGACTAAAAATTGCTAAGGCCCCCAAAGAGCTTCTGTTTATATGGGTTGTATTTATCAGTATTTACTCTGTGAGCAATTAAAATGGATAATTTTTTAAAAATATCCACTTAAAAATAACATGAAATCTATTCCACGGTACTGTGAATGACATTCTTTAAGGAAAAAGTAAACGTTTGTTGGAATTAATTTAATCTTGAAATTAGGTGGTTACTTCTGGTGGGAAAGGCTGGAAGCTGTGCATTTCCCAAAGAAGGAGTTTGGGGAAGGGAGGCATGGCCAGAAGGCACTGGTGCCGCGGCCTGGCTGTGTCCCTCCCTGCCTCAGCCGCCATGAGTCCTCTTCCTTTCAGACCCAGGCACCATCCTCCACGTGAGACTTTTCCCGGCCCGGCTGCTGGTGCCACCCACCCTCCCCCAAGTACCTTGTGTGTGACTACTCCACTCACGTCTGCATGTCCTTTCTATACGTGCTTGTTTCCCCATTAGAACAAGAGCTCCTTGTACTTGGCACACAGTAGGCACTTAATAAATGCTTAGGGATCAATTAACCACTCGTCCCTCGCTGTGCATTTGCAGATTGCTCCTGCCGAAGGCCCAGATGTCAGTGAGAGGATGGTCATCATCACCGGACCGCCTGAAGCCCAGTTCAAGGTCAATGCCTCGACCCCCGCCACGTCCATGCCCCTGTGCCAGGCTCTAGGGCCAGAGCGTAGCCTGTCAGGATTGAGCATTGTTTGTCTTGTGGGGGGACACCACCCTGGGGAACCTGGAGCTCAGATGGAGAAGCCCCGGACGCTGCCGAGAGGTTTAGGGCCTCTCTGGGAAGCTGCCCGGGTCCTCCTCCTGCCCCAGGTCCCACCGTCGATCCCCTCCTGCTAGCTGAGCAGCCGTAGGCTGGACTAACTGTGTCTTCTCGGCACTCCCTTTCTCAGGCCCAGGGGCGGATCTTCGGGAAACTGAAGGAGGAGAATTTCTTTAACCCCAAAGAAGAAGTGAAGCTTAAGGCTCACATTCGAGTGCCCTCCTCAGCCGCCGGCCGTGTGATTGGAAAAGGCGGCAAAACGGTGAGTCTGCCTTGGCCGTGACCCTGTTCTGGGGCCTTCCGTCCCTCCCCATGTTCGGTCCTGTAACTCCTCAGCTGGCCACGGCTCCTGGAAGGAACTGGGGGACTCCAGGATTTAGCCCATTTCTGCCCTGTGGAAACTGAGGCAGCTGAAACGCTGCCAGCAATTCTGAGCAAGAGAGACACGTAGTTGGACCTGGCTCGCTTTGGTGACTGAATGAAGGATGGATTGGAGAGGGGAGGGACTTGAGGCAGGCAGGAGCCCCACACCTTCCCCAGCAGCTACTACAATAGGCCCGGGGCTAAGGTGATCGGGGCTGTACCAGGGTGGGAGCAGAGTCAGAGAAGAGAAGTGTTCGAGAATTGTTACGAAGGGAGAAATGACAAGATTGGCAGCAGACCAGATGAGGAGGATGAGATGGAGGAGTTGAGGATGCCCCGAGGTTTCTTTCAAGTCTGGGGGATCAGAAGGAGCGTCTCAGATTTTCAGTTGATTTCTCCAGATTGGCCTGGCAGAGGGCTCTCCTTTCTCCCCTAGCCCAGGGGCATGGAGGGTATCAGAGCAGTGAGTCAGTGGAAGACAAAATGGATGCCAAGGCCTGTGGCTACCAAGTTCTGTCCCACACTTGAAAACCCTCTGAGGTGGGAAATGTAAACATCACACCGTAACGGGTCTCTCTTGTACCTCTGGCACTCTCTTGATGAATTGCAGTGGTGACTAGGAGGGTGGGACCAGCAGGATGGACGTCCAGATAAAATAGAGCCAGAGGGCCTCTTGTTCAGTCCTTGTGTTTTACAGAAGAGGAAACTGAGGCCCAGAGAAGGGAAATGATTTGGATCCTAAAATCATAGATGGGATAACCCAGAATATGTGGTGTTACTTCGAATATGGGCAGAGAGAACTTTACCTCTCTGACCTGTCAGGGCCATAAGGATTCAGGCATGAGGCTGGGCCACTCTCCGAGGCAGCTAAAAGTGAAGTCTGACTGGAGGCAAGGGCTCCACCCCCCACCTCAGGGCTGTCACCCAGAATGCTGTCTCTTCTCCCTAGCACCTAGCCAGATCCTTCAAGGAAGTAACATGATGTATTTGCCAAAAAAAAAGAAGCAAAAAAGAAACCAAAAAAAACCCCCAAGACTCTCAGAGGGAACCCTGATTTTAGTCCTGGCTCTGCCATTAGCTGTATGACCTTGGATAAGTCTCTTCACCTCCAAGCCTCATGGTGCTGTTCTGTAAAATGAAGAAGTTGCATTCAGTCTCTCTGGCCCCTTCCAGCTTTTGCAGGTCTGAAATCAACATGTAGTGAAGGATGGGCTGGTGGGAAGAGGAGGTTGGTACCTCTCTTTGCCTATCAGCTCCCTGTAACGCTCACTGCCGCCTCCTTGCCTTTCCACTCTCATCCTGCCAACCACTGTCTCTACCAAAAATACAACTCCAGCTCTCTTCTAACTACTTTTTTTTTTTACTTCCTGCTCCCTCTCTACCCTCTCCTCCCCATCTCACACAGGTGAATGAACTGCAAAACTTAACCAGTGCAGAAGTCATTGTGCCCCGGGATCAGACACCCGATGAGAATGAGGAAGTGGTTGTCAAGATCATTGGCCACTTCTTTGCCAGTCAGGTACCTGTGGTTTGTTTTCCTCTGTCCCTTTAACCTTCTGCCCAAGCTCTGAGTGATCTAATCATAGTGGTCAGTGGGACCTGGAGGCCTCTTGCCTCCAGATTCCCCAGACTCTCTGCCCACATCTGATGGATGTTCTTTATCCATTTGCTTGAGTGATTTGTGAAGGTTTCCTGCTGGTCTTGTTTTCCCTTTGTCCCTGGCAAGGCAGTGCCCAGGGCAAAACTCCCCTGGCCTCCTCAACATCCCTCACTGTGCATCTCGTGGGCCCTCCCACCTTGTGTACCTGTCAGGCTCCATGGGAAGATCAGGGAAGGAAAAAGAAAAAGATATCTTAGTGAATTCAATAGTTCCAAGCCCACGCGTGTTAGCAGCTCTGTACAAAAGGCCGTATTCCGCTCCCCCCTGCCCAGGCCTACAGAGGCCTGGAGGCCGGCCTGCTCTACTGCTTGGAAGCCTAGGTCTTTTGTACTCGGGCAAGGACAAATTCAGTTTGCTGAATTTGGAGTCGGAAGACCTTGGTTCACATCCTACCTGATACCTGTGTGGTCCTTGGAAAGTCACCCCCTGCCCCCACCCCCCTTCCTCTCCTGCTGCCGGCCTCGTGGATCTCAGTTTCTTCACCTCTGAGGCCCCTCCCAGATCCCCAAACTAGTATGCTGTGATCAGGCCCCTCAGCCATGGAAAGCAGTCACACAGTGAGCTGCCCACCAGGAGAAATCCTCAGTTTTCTCTTCTTTAGGAAGTAGGTGCTTAATGCATGCTTGGTCGTTGAGCCTGCCTCTGTGATTACCTGTGACCTTAGGCAGGTCTTAACATCTCTCAGCCTCAGTTTCTCCTCTTACAAAATGAGAGCACTAGAACTAGATGGCCTCTGAGGGCCCTCTTAACTCCTAATCTAGGATGCTGCGGTCCCCGAGAAACTCAGCTCCTTTGCTGGTTCTCTGCGTCTCCTAAAAGACTGGGTGGGAGCAGCTTTGAAAGCACACGCCCAAACTGGGGTGTGGAATGACCACAGCCCTCATTCATCCATTCTGTCCTGGTATTGTGCCTGGCTCAGCTTAAGGCCTTCCCAGTCCTGAGCTCCCTGTGGGCACTGTACCTGCCCCAGCTGCCGCTTGGCCCTGCCCTTGGCCTTGGGCCTCCTTACTCGCTGACTCGTGGCAGGCTGGGGAGTGGGCTTGGTTTGTCCTTTCTCTGCTCCTTCCAGTTGGTGCCTCAGTCAATGCCCTGAGCCTGCCCGGGGTGCCGCCGCCCGTCCCCGTCCCCGTCCCTCTCTCAGCTTAGCTGCCGGCTCATCTCGAGGGAGTCCCAGATGCTGTTGTCGGGGCTCCAGCTACATATGGACTCAAAGTCTGGTTCCCCTCTCCCTTTCTGTTTCTCTTTCTCCCCTGTGTCTCTGCTTCTTCCTCTCTCCTCTTTATCCCCCTCATCCTCCTGCCTTCCCTCCTTTACAACTCCCTCTTCCTGTGTGGTCCCTTCATCTCTCTCTCCTTCCTGAATCTCTCCTGTCTCTGCCTCTCCCTTCCTATCATACTACCTTTCTTGACTTCCTTCCCCTGCTGCCATGTTCCTGTTAACCTCCCCCTTTTATCTCTTGTTCCTTTTCTCCTTTTCTGTTCTCTGCCGCTCCCTTTTCTTCTCTCCTTCGTCCATCACTTCTGCCTCCTTTTTCTCCTTCCTTCTCTCTGCCCCTGCATCTCCATCTCCTCTGCCCATTCCTCTGTATCTCCCCTCTCTGCAACCCTTTCTTTCCCCATCTCTGTCTCTGTCCCTCTGCCCACCCTTCTGGTCTGCTCCCGCTCTCTCCTCTGTCCCTCTCCGTGGGTGTATCTCCTTCCCCTGCCTCGGTCCCTGCCTCTCTCTCTGTGTCTCTCCCTGGCTGCAGACGGCCCAGCGCAAGATCAGGGAGATCGTCCAGCAGGTGAAGCAGCAGGAGCAGAAGCATCCTCAGGGAGCCGGGCCCTCGCCGCCACAGCAGCAGCAACGAACCAAGTGAGAGGCTGCCTCGGGTGCAGGCCAGCCGAGCCACAACAGATGAATGTAGCCCTTCCCGTGCCGGACAGAACAAGACCAAACACAGAAAGACAGATCGGGGAGCGAACCAAAGACCATCCTGAGAAATAAGGAGGCTGCCCAAGGCTGGGACTCTGCAGAAACCTTGCTAAAGCTTGCATCCCAGGGCGCGATGGCCCCGGGGATACGGTGGGGTCAGGAACACATGATCATCCAGAGGCTGGACCAGGTGTGCCTGAGCATCCCCTTTGCCCTCTCCCCCCCAACACGTGTGTGCGCGTGCACGCAAACACACACATACGCAAACACATACCAGGCAGGGAGCTGGCCCGTCTGGCCCCAGGGTTTCTGCAGGCTTCCCCGATGACAGTACCCCCATTCCCCATACAGTCTGACTCCCATGACTCTGTCCCTTAAGTTGGACTAACATCAGTGGACGTGTGCAAAACAAAGCTCAATTCTCACCCGGTTTTTGGAAGAAAAACAAAATTGGTTCTGTACATACACGTACATGTATGTACATGTACAAGGGGTCAAGAGGCCGTGCCTACAGCATTAATATATTGTAGAAATGATATATATCGGTAACGCAACTAACTCCAATTTAAAAACAAATTATTAATTTTTTTATTTCCTTTGGAAGAGAAAGCAGGCTTTTCTAGAGTTTAAAGTCACCCGCTGAGAGAGCTAAAGGGGTAGAAGCGGCTTTAGAAATGCCAGCACAAAAACTGAAGAGGGGAGGGTGGGGGAGGGGGAGGGGGAGGGGACGTAGTCAGGAAGGTACTAACAGCACCGTGCAGTTGGGCGTCAGCTGTGTGTGCCACCGGAAGGGATACCGTCTTTGAGAAGAGGAATCTCTTGTCTCCCGTCATCTGTATACAGCTCACATATCCTTTCCTTTTTTTTTTTTGCTTCACAGGTTCTAAACTGGTTTTGCATACAGCCATATAATTGTGTCTTTTCCTCCCTCTCTCTGCTCCAGTTTTTCTTGCCCTCCTCCCCTCTCCCTTCAGTCTCTCTTCCTTCTCTCCTTCTCTCTCCACACCCCCAGGCAAAGCAGTGCTCAGAGTAACACATCACAGAAAAAAAGAGAAAAAAAAATCAAACAGCCACAACTTCCATTTAGGTGATTGAATAGGAAAGGAAACAATCTCAATGGTACTCATTCCAGCAATCTTCAAAAAGGAAAGAGAAAAAAAAAATTCCACTCAGAAAAAAGAAAAACTTTTGTCTTTTTTACATCTGTTTATTTAGGACATAGCCACCAATGTGTGGGGAAGTAATTTTCTTTCTTACAAACAAATCAAAAACAAGTGGGGAAGAAACTAAAAAAGAAAATTACCAGAGGTTGTTGGCCCACAGCATAGAAATTGCAAATTGAAAAAACAAAAACAAAAAATATTTAAAGGAAAAAACAAAACAAAAAAAAAACTACCTCAGGTGTTTTTGTACCTCAGCACCTTGATCTTGCATTTCCCTTTTAGAGATTTTGTATGCCTTGTAAACTGAGAGTTGGAGCATTTTTTTTTTATTTTTTTAATAAAATCAAGTTGGAAAAAAAATAGATGCCATCTAGGAGGTGACATCCAGGTGTGCGCCAACCATTCTCAACTGTCCTTGGCTAGCTGAGAGCCGATGGCCTTCTTTAGGGCAGACCTTGAAAATGTTTATTGAAAAAAAATGATTAAAAGAAAAAACCAGGGAAAGAAAGGCTTAGCAATGTCCTGAGTGTGTTAATAGAGTACGTGCCATTAGGGTTTTGTGCACTAAAGGATGAACATGTTACTGGTCTATGTGAAATTGCCAATGTGCCAACAGACTGCAATGCCAGTTTCCTCTACTGCAAACAGTGTTCTGTGAAAAAACAAAAACACACACAAAAAAAAAAAAAAGCAAAAAAAAAAAAATATATCCAGCTAACAAGAGCCAACTTAGTCATGATCTCGTTTATTTTCAGCTTGGCTTCAGCCAAGGGATACTTCCCAGAGAATCTGTGGGGATGAGAAACTCCCAGGATGGAGGTCACAGGGAACCTTGGGAGGCAGAGCTGGGGGTGTGGGATGGGGTGGGGGACATTGCTGGGGAGGAAAGGACATGAGAGAACGAAATAACGTTGACTTTTAGGATTGACACCCAGGACCAAGTGTATCTCAAGTATGAGGTTTCATTCAACAGCAAATAGCTGAAGATCTGTTGTGTGGAAAGCACACTGGTCTGTGGTACTTGGGAGGGTAGAACATGGGTTCTTTCCCCCAGGAGCAGTACTTCACTTGTGACAATAATAGATACATGAAAAGCAGGACTGTCATCCACTCTCACCTAGTCTTCCTCAGCCCCCATTTAATGACCATCTCTGCTGATGAGTGTCAAATCTACCTGTCCTGCCCCAACCTCTCCACTGACCTCCATTCTCACATCTCCAGCTGCCTTTCAGACATCTGTTGCCAAGGCCAGTTGATTTCACCTCTGCAATATCTTTTGAATGCTTCCCCCCCCCCCCTTTGACAATGCCACCTCTCTAGTACAGACTCTGAGGAGAGCTAGGAAAAATGACAGAGTTGATTGGATGTTTCCAAAATTGGGAGTGGAGCCAGAGTACCCATGCAGCAGGGAGGCTGATGGGAAAGTGGGAATGAACTACATACACCAGACAGAAGGGAATACCGCACTGGATCTCAGATCTATTGGGATCCAATAGGCAGTCTGTCCACAGAGACTGTCATAAGTTCATTATGACCTATTAGTGAATTACTGATGAATGGGAGAGCCTTCATAGTGGAAGGGGTCTTGAAGAGGATTCTGGCAGGTAAAAATGGGGAGGAAGTATGTCCAGACACGGGAGATGGTCTACGTTTCTTGGTTCAACCAAACGACACCAATCAGTCAATGGTCATTTATTTATTAAGTGCTTACTATGTGCCAGGCACTCACATGAGGTGCTGGTGAAAGAAAAACCAAACAGTCCTTGCCCTCAAGGAGCTTACATCCTAATGGGGAAGACATACAAAAATACAAATACATACAAAGTATGCAGATGGTAATGAGAACCAACCTTAGAGGGGACAACACCAGCAGCTGGGAGGACCAGGCCGCCTGGCAGTGGTCATGCTTGAGCCCAGTCTCAAAACAATGCCAGCAATTCTAGACGGGAGGGTTAGCGTTCCAGCCACGGGGAACAGCCAATGCAAAGACAGGGAGCCCAGGAGGGGAGTTTCTTGTGAAAGAAACAGCCAATAGGCCAGTGTGTCTGGATTATAGAATGCATGAAGGGGATTAAGAAGGGAAAAGTAGGAAGGGCCAGGTTGTGAAACAGAACAGCGTATTTGATCCTGGAGGTGATAGGGAGGCTCAGTGGATGGAGCACTGGGCCTGGAGTCAGGAAGATCTGAGTTAGTTAAATCCAGCCTCAGACACTTTCTAGGAATGTCTGAGGCTGCCAAGTCCGGGCAAATCATTTGACTTACGATTACCTGACAAAAGGATCTACTGGAACCACTGGAGAAAGAAATGGCAACTCCTCCAGTATCTTTGCCAAGGAAAGCCATGGACAGACAGTCCATGAGAACACAAAGAGTTGGATGTGACTAATGGAATGAATTATAGGGAGTCGTCTGAGTTTACTGAGGGGTGACGTGGTCAGACTTACGTTTTAGGAAAATCACCTTGACAGTTGAGATGGAGTGGAGAGAAACTTGAGGCAGAACAACTGGAAGGCTACTGCAGTGATAAAGGTGAGAAGCGAAAAGGGCCTGAATTGGGCTGGTGTATAAGTAGAGATGTTATACAGAAGGCAGCTACAAGATCTTACAACTGATGGCACGTGGGGGGATGAAGGTGTCAACAAGTAACAGAGAAGAGGGGAGCATTTTAGAGGAAAGAGAATGAGTTCTGTTTGGACATGTTGAGTTTGAGATGCCTTCAGGACACAGGTAATCATGTCTAGGGGGCAGATGGTGATGCTGGACATGGGAGCTGATGAGATCACCAAATGAGAGAACACAGAGAAAAGGGCAAAGGCCCAGGATAGAGCCACAGTTAGTGAGCAGGACCTGCATGAAGATCAGCAAAATGATAGAAGTCAGGAAGAAAGAGAACTGAGAGACAGCAGGAGTCACCCATCAAAACCCAAGGAGCTTTTTATGCAGGAAGAAATGGTCAATGATGTCATTGAAGCAGGGGGCCTCACAAGAGGCTGGGAGATTTGGCAATCAAGACTGGTCACTGGTGACTCAAGAGGCAGGAAACCAGACTGCAGAGAGTTTAGAAGAAAGGTGAGGAGACTGAGCGAAGCCACCGATTGTCAGCAGGTTCTCCAAAAAGAGATGTCTCAGACAGCTGGCAGGCAGGGTAAGAGCTAGGTACCAGGGAAGGAGCCAACTAGACAGACTGAAGATTAGAGCCGGGATAAGATGGTAGGGGGTGAGGAATGGGACCATGAGCTTATGTAAATGGAAAGGAGGCCACATCATCTGAGATAGGAAATGGGGGGGGGGGGGTGTCATAAGAAGGGATTAGGAATTCCCTCTCAAAGAATAGCTTCAATCCTGCTGGCAAAGTAGGAGGGGAGGTCAACAGAGAGGCTGGGGAAAGTGTCGTGAAAGAGCTGAGAGAAGAAAAGGTTTGGAACAACCTTTTGGGATAGAGTGGGATAGAGAACAGTAGAACTGCCTTGCTGTAGTGAGGGCCCAGTTGAAACATCACTTTAGAGGGGACCCAATCAGCATGGTTCTATGACTTCCTCTAGTTCCATTTATCAGCACAAGTAGGAGCAAAGGAGGCGGTGGGTGCAGGCTGTGTGGGACAGGGGAGACAGCAAAACCATGCTAGAGAGGTAGACTGGAGCCAGACAATGTGGGACATGGTAAGTGTCAGGCTAAGGATGTAGTGTTCTATCCTAGAGGCAACATGAAGGCCCTAAAGGCAGGATGATGTGCATTAGAAAGACTTTTGGAACTTTTGGAAAGACTTTTCCTACATGGGAAAGTGGAGACTAGAAGCAGGAAGACTTGCTGAGACTATCACAGTAGTGTAAGCGAGAGCAGTGGTGGCCCTGGGAGGGTAGAAGAGAGGGGTCAAAGATGCCTGCATTTCACACCTGCTTGGGTGGGGTTGGGAAAGGTAAGGAGGGAAGAGTCTAAAGACGACTGAAGTTGGAAGCTTGAGGAAAGCTGAGGAGGGACGGCAAATTTGGGAGGAAATGGATGAGTGAAAAATACCCATCCCTGGTTACTGCACATTTCCAATGCACAAGAAAGTCTCTGCTCTCAAGGTGCTTAAAGGAGAGGTGCTGAGGCCCAGGCAGTCACAGGGATGGGGAGTGGAACCACATAGGAGCTGAGTGATAAGGACAGCAGCGGTGGAGACGGCTGGTGCTCGCTCCTTCCCTCAGGGCAGCTCGGCCCTTGTTGGGGGTTCCAAGGTTGGGTGGATTAAGTCCTGCAAGTAAAGATCTCTGAGCATTGTCGCTAAGGAGTCAAAGTGAGGAGAAAAATGGTGAAGGGGCAGTTGAGTTACAAATGCAGTAAGAAAATGTGGAGCAGGGAGACTGAGAACCCTGCAATGGGTAATGGAAGAAAGTTTCAAGGGAGAAAAGAGAAGACAGGTTGCAAGAGGTTGGGAAATCGGCGATGAGGAAGTAGAAGCCACAAATACGGTTGAAAATTTTTCTAAAGACAGCATATAACAGCTGCAAACGGATACAAGGGCCACAGGAAGGGCTTGGGATGGATCTTTTACCCCCTTAGGGTGAGAGCGATGTGAATATGTAAGCAGAAGGAGCCCCTTCGAGAGAAAGAGACTGAAGTTTAGAAGGGGAATGATCCAGATCCCTGAGAAGATGCAAGGGATGAGATGAAGGGGGCAAGTGAGGGGGAGCCATGTCATACTCTATAAGGGGAAAAGGAGGAGCAAGTGGGTGGAATAAAGTAGACAAAGATACTGCATTGAGAAAAGGAGCAGATAACCAACTTTTAATAAGCGCTTACTTACTATGTGCCAGGTTCTGTGCTAAGCACCAGGGATATAAAAAGTAGCAAAAGACTACCCTGCCCTCAAGAAGCTTACATCCTAACGGAGGAGACAGCATTCAAATATGTATAAAAAATTTTATGCTTTTATCTAAGTTTATAAATAGAAGAAAACGGAGAAGGCACTAGAATTAAGAGCAGTTAGGGAAGGCTTCCTGTAAGTGAGATTTTAGCTGGGACTTAAAGGAAACCAGAGAGGTCAGCAGTCAGAGGGGAAGAGGAAGAGCATTCCAGGCACAGGGGCCAGCCAGAGAAAATGCCCAGAGCCAAGAAATGCAGGGTTTTGTTCATGGAACACCCAGGAGGCCAGTGTCACTGGACTCAAGAATCTGTGTAGGGGAAAAGGTGCGTAGGAGGAAACTAGGTTATGAAAGGCCAAAAAGAGCAGGGAGCCACTGAGATTTATAAGTGGGAGGGGCGACCTGATCAGCCTTGAACTTGATCACTTTGACAGCTGGATGAAGGCTAGACTAGAGAGCTACCATCGATAGCACAGGCAGGAGGTGATAAGGGTCTGCATCAGAGTGGTGGGGGTGTAAGAGGAGAGAAGGGGGCCTGAGGACTCGGAGGAGCCATTGTAAGAAGCTGAAGCATGAATCTGAGAGGAAGAAAGGGATGCCAGGCAGCAAGGGAGGGGCAAAAGCAAAGCTTGGGTAGACCCATGGAGAGCCAACAGGGCCACGGATTCACGGGTAGAGGGCGTGGGGGCAAACTGCTCAGAATGGCTACTGGATGACCACGGAGGGCAGGAAGTGAGGACGGCCTCCCTCTCTTATTTCTCATGGCCGGTGGAGACGGGCTGCAGATGGACAAACAGGAAGGCCATGAGCATGGTTACAGCTCCCAGCAGACACACATCTTCTCATTTAATCCCCGCAGCAGCCCTGTGAGGCAGGTACAAGGCATCAGCCTGGTCCAGCCCTCTATGCACTGTGGCCCCAAGCTGAAATCAGACCACAGAATCCAGGTGGAGAGCCGGAAGAACTTCTGATCTCTCCATTCTATACAGGAGGACCTGGGGCCTCCGAGAAGTTCAATAAGGTCACTGAAAGAGTAAGCAGTGAAGCAGGGATGTGAATGCAGGTCCTGACCGCAGCTCTGCCCATATTTCCAAAGAAACAGTGACAATGCCATTGATATTCAATAGAGAGCCTTCCAACAATACTGATCTCCACCAGTCCACACCTGGTATGACTCTTGTGCAAGGTCCCTTAGAAATTCACCCAGGGTCTACCCACACCAACATTCCATTGCATGTGAAAGGCAGCAGAATATCCCATTAGCCTCACAACAACCCTGTGAGGTAGGTGTGACAAGCGACATTCACAGATGAGGAACCCGGTGGTTCAGACAGACAGGGTCAGAGGCAGGTACAGAGCCAGGTGTAAAACTGAGGACACTTTTAAGCCTATAGGTTTTAAAACAGCATTTGCTAGTAAAAGTTCTGCAGAGCAGTCAAGATTTGCTGCTGAAAATCAGTGCTGTGTGAAACTGATTTAAGTGATGGGGAAAAAGCTTTACCAAGGAAGAGGCAAAGCATCCCTTCCCAGCTGTTTGTGTGTGTCTCCCACCAGCCTCCTTTCTATGAGGACACACATTTTTCTGGGCTCCCCTCCTCTCTTGTTTTATTCTTAGTTTTACAGGATGGCAGGGGAACAGGGAAGGGAAATGAATTATTAGGAAATGAAGGTGATTTGAAAACAAAGAGGTTTTAAAATATAAGTTCCTGCTATTGCCCAAATACTTCTGTGGTCCTTCAACTTTGTTCCTCTATTTGGATTTACATCTCACGCTGTACAATGCACTGCTAACAATGCTGCTCAAAGGGCCCCGAATCCTCCATTCCTTTCCTCGCGTGATTCTCAGACGAAGAATAAGGGGGGCCAGTGCCCACAAATGACAGCTGGCTTGTCTCCCAAGAGCTCATTGGGCAGTCAGAGCATGTTCTCCCATTGGGATGAAGCTGTGAGAGAAGGCAAGGCTCCTAGACCAGCTCACAAAAGCTGCTTTCAGACTCCAGTCTGGTTTGGCTGGATTTCACCTATGATTTCACTTGTGCAGGAGGGACGGTACAAACGGGGGCCTCTATTTAAACTGAAGTGGACTATCTTTTCCATCTACCCCTCTTCCGTCCCAACGACAATCTCTCCTCCACCAATGACCATCTATCTCTCTGACGTGGCTGGTTCCCTACAGAGAGGGGAGAGAGGGGCTCTGAGGTGAGGGGGCAGAAGTGCACATTGGAGAAGGGCAGGTTAGGGCCCTGGGAACCAAAGTTAGCAAAGGTGAGGGGAGAGGCAGGGTCTCCTGGGGCAGGACAAAGGGCCCTTCCCAGCGGTATCAACAGTCTCCCTTCAGAAGCTAATGGGTATATGACTTGGTCCAACAATTAAGGAAAACAATCTGGAACTACATGGGGGGAAAAAGTGACTAAAATGTGCACACCCCTGACCTGGAGATCTTACAGGTCTCAACAGGAGGCAACTACCCCAAGGAAGTCAAAGATAAAGGGACGGGTCTCACAGCAGCACATTCTGTGACGTCAGGGAATGGGGAATGAAGGGCTGGGCATCAGTCGGGAAATGGCTAAACTGTGATGCATAAATGCAATGCAATATCATTGCATCATAAGAAAAGGCAAATATAAACATTCAGAGAAACAGAGAAAGGTTTCCACAAACTGAGGAAGAAAGTGAGCAGGATTCCTATGACAACATAAATAGGAAGAACATGAAAATTAAATGAACACTGTGTAAATGCAATGCTCAAGCTTGACTGCAGAAATGAGAACTGCCCCCTCCAATGAGTGGGAGGCCTATGGGTGTGGAACGGTACACACACTGTCTACAACGAACCCTGTGTTACAAAGGAGGCTGCGTGCATGTGTGCAAAGGGCATCAGTAAATCTTCTGGGACACTTGTGATGGTTAAGAGAATTAGAAAACCCACAGGGACTAGGGAAATCTTGAGAGAAACTACACCAAATCACTAATACAAGAAATGTAAAACAAAACAACTCGTGAAGCTTCATGTGCAACCCAGCAAATGCTCAGAGATGACGAGACACAGAAATAACTGATGTTGGGAGCTCCAGGGAGATAGGCACACTGCGAACTGGTCCAATGTTTCTGGGAGATCATTTGGAATTCCAGGAGCTGAGTCACTATACTGCTCATACCTGCTGACCCAGGGATGCCAGCACTGAGATCCCTGTAGGTCAAAAACAGTCAAAAAGGCCCATCACTGACCAAAAGGCTCACAGTAACACTTTTTTGGTAGCAAAAAACTGGAAACAAAATGTGTGCCAACTGGCAGGAAACAGTTCAACAAACAGAAACTTACAGCACAAGAAATGGTGAATGTTGAAGAATTCATTGTGAACTGAGACATCACAAAATAAGCAGGAACCAGACAACAAACACGGCTACGACAAGATCATTAGCGAGGGAATACAAAGTTCAATGCTGAGTCAGCGTGCCCAGCTCTGCGTTCCATTCTGTTCCAGAGCAGATGCAGAGACGTGCCTCCTGCCCTTTCGGGGGGGGGGGGGGGGGGGGGGGAGGGGACACAGGTACCTCATGGTATCTACACTATCTGACGCAGGCACTGAGTTGGCTTTGCTTAGAGCTGTTTGTATTCTTTGGGGGTGGGGTGGGGGGCTGTTTCCAGAAATAGCTGTGATAGAACAAATAGCATCAATAAAATTTAGCATTTAAAAATATATTTAGGAGAAAGAAATTTTAAAAGCCCATTTGTGCTTAGAATGGGGCTAAAAAGGTTTGAGTTGTTGAGACCTGGAGCTAATAATTCTGACAGGCCCAACGCTTAAGAACAGCCAAATGGGGAAATGTGCCCAATCTGTGCCTAGAGAAACGGGAGACCCAGAAAACACGCCCCAACTAGTCTGCGTGTGGACTGGGCAGGCGCCAGCTGCCGCCGCCACCACCAGCTCAGCTAGCCCCTGCCAAAGGGCCTCTCTTCCTTCCTAGGAGCTCTGTGCACCTGCACTCACACTGGAGGGCACAGGGAAGAGAGGTCACAACCAGCATGTGCCCACCAGGAGAGGCAGCTGAGCTGATCCTCTTGTCACACTAGGCCCCTCCTATCTATCTCCAGGCGCCAAAGCAAGCTGGGCTGGGAATTTAAAAAAACAAAACAAAACAAAACAAAACAAAAAAAAAAAAAATTTCGGCATAGATTTACCAGGGCTGTTGGCCAGACAACCTTTTATTACATGGGGAAAGACACATACCAGGCACTAGATACTGCAAAATGGGATTTGATCTTTCCTTATACCAACAAATATTCCTTCAAATCTTCAGAAAGTAGAAGCAGCACATCTGGATGCTTTTAAATTTAAAAAAACAAGTTAAATACAAACTTTCATATGTAAAATAGATTATTCAGCAACAACCTCAGCCTTGTTAGGCTTCTTTCACAGATTTCAGCTCAGGAAAAAAAAAAAAAAGACCCAAATAAGTACAAAACTTAATTTTAGTTTTATATAGAAAAAAGAAACTTGGAGAAAAATAGCTTTACCTTGGATAGTCTCTCTTGAAATAAACAATTCGTGCCATCTCTTATAACTTGGGGACTTTCCCCCAATCAGCTGAAAGAAGACAGCAGTGACAATCGTGGGTTCACAGTCATTACAAATCCAGTTACAGGAGCTAAACCAGGTCTCTTCCTTTCCAGAAAAGGGGAACAAAGTCTCCATAATAAAATCAAGTCAGTATTCTGAAAGGGAGTGACTATGCAGGCAGGAGTTTGGAATGGGATGGGACAGACAGACAGAGCAACTGCAATCACACTTGGCTCTGTCGGGAGTGACCTGCCTGCCGGCCCACAAGTCCCCGGGGTTCAGGCCAAGGCACATCCGTCCATCCGTCCACCTGTCTGCCTCTGTTGGTCCTCCCTAAGACAGTTCCCTCCAGCTCCAAGGTAGCAGCCATTGTTGTATAAGTTAAAATTTCCACCCCTCCCCTCTCCTAAGGTTCTGAGACCAGGACCCAGCTAAAAGGAGTGGCTCAAAGAATAGTCCTTTCAGAAATAAATATTCATAGAAGTAAATCTAGAGTTTCATTTGAGAGGGCAAGCACAGCCTCTGCCCAGTTCTTGAACACAAATACACACACGCACACACACACCCTATATATAGATATTTACACACACATAGACACATACACACAGAGTAAACCCTGCATTTCCTACATTCTTGAAGAAAAAAAAATGTCCTTTAACCACACATTAAATTAGTGTTTGTTTTCATAGGGACTGCCCAGCAGAGGATTCTGCAAGAGGGCACAGAGTTACAGGCGGGAGCTCAGTCTTCTGTACCCCCAGGCTGAGGCTCCAGATGCCTCCATGCAGGCCTTGCACTCAGTACCTGCAAAGCAGCAGAAGCGATGCTGGGACTTTCTAACTCATGAGGCATGAGGTCAATGGAACCATCTGGGGAGTGTCCCGAGCAGCTGCAGGGAACAAGAGAGGGGTTCTCAGAGCAGCTGCTGATGAAGGATTTCCCACACCATCCTCTTCCGGAAGTGAGGCATCTCATTCTGCAAGGAATCACCCGAGACATTACACAGGATCTCACGAAAGTGGGAAAACCGCTGTTACTTCATCGACAAGATACCCTGGTCCTTTCTGCCACTCTGGAAATAATTCTAGGAAAATGGCATTATCCAGTGCTAATCTCTTCCCTTACAGGAAATCCTACCTGTTCCTCCCACATAAACTCCCCAGGCCTGGAGAAGATGAAGCTCTTGGTTATCTGGAGAAACTGGGGAAGGTGTTCCTGCTAATCCAAAATGTGGCTGAACAGACAGTCACCACATCGCCGACTGGCAGAATGCCATCGAGCCCAGGGTCAAGGGGACCTGCCACAGGTGCTGGCATCCTATCCCAAGGTTACCTTCACATACACCAAGTGCTTCATGACTCCGCTGAGCAGAGGAAAGAGGACTGGGCTGAGTGTTAGAAGATGGGAGCTTGAAGGTCAGCTCTTGCCACCTTCTGGGAAGGCTTCTGGGAAAGTCCTTTCTGTCTGGGCCTGAAAGTCCCAGGACTTGAAGAGGTCCAAGGAAACAGAGACCACACACAATAATCCTCTCTCTCTCTCTCTCAACCTCACACCTGACAAGTGGTTGTCCAGTAAGGGGGAGGCCACTACCGCCAAGAGCAACCCATTTCCCTTTTGCTCTGTGAGGAAACTTATCCTTACTCCAAGGCTAGAACTGCCTCTCTGCCTCAGTCTCCTAATCTGTAAAATGAGGGGGCTGAATGAAATGGTTTCTAAGGACCCCCCCAGTTCTGAGTCCTAAGCAAATTGAAGGAGAAAGAAGAGTGAACTTCTGGCCGTATTTTGGGCTTGTTACCCAACTCTCAGAATTCTCAGACCAAGCAGAAATTTTTCCCAGCCATCATATGTGCTTACCCACATGACTTTTCTCAGGCTAAGCATGAACAGCAATGATTTTTTTTTTTAAATCCTCTCTTTAAAAAATACTATTTATCCTATGGGATGGCTCTTGGGAAGAGGGATACTATGGTGATGTAAAAAACAGAAAATGTTAATAAAAACTTGTTTTTAAAAATGAACAACAATAAGAAAGAAGTGCCCCCCCCGCCCCCCCGTGTATATCTGGGCTCTATGAAATCTTCCTGCTGGTGACCGAGCCCTGGACAAACCTGAGAAGAAACAGATCCAGTGACCAATATCTATACTGACACGGAAATATGACACAGAGGTGAATAGCAACCAAGTGGAGAAAGGCCAGAGGCTTCACAAACCTGTGTAAAAGTGATGGGCTTGTCCTGAGAGAGATAATCTGCATATTTACAAGTAAACATTCCACAATCGCTTCCATTTAATTGCTGAGGAATCTCCTGAAAACAAAGAAAAAGGATAAAACAACATTATCCAAATAAAAAAGCACCCTTTCATTCAGCAGTGTGGATATGCAATATAATCAGGTATGGATTACATCTGAATAGTATTAGAGACCCTTTTCAGAGGCTAAAGGATATTCCTCTCAATCTAGCTTTAGAATAGCACTAGAAAATAGGGATGGTAGTGAAGGATATCAGCCACAATGATAGTCTGAATGAGGTCCAATGTGGTTTAAATAGAAACTCCCAAGTCACAACAGGACAACTCAGGATTGGAGAGGTCTGAACTGTCCTTCCCTAACTGGGAAAACAGGCTTCATTAAGAGCCAGATACAATGGGGGACAAGAGAGGATTCTTACTAAGCTTTAACTAATTATGCTCAACTGGCTCCAACCTATCAGACGGTGACATTGGAACTCAACCGTGTTCAAAGTATCTCGATGCTAAGGAATCAAAGGCCAGAGGTTCAATACCCAGGGAAGCCACTCAGTTGTGGCCAAACATACTCGCAAATTCCAACTCAGCTCTTCTGACTCCAAATCCAGTGTTCCTTCCCTCCCCCCACCTGCTCCCCATCTGAAGCCCCTTTCCAGTGTTCACCCTCTGTGACTCTTGGAGCACATTATTCATTCTAACATGTCCTTCCCAGGCCCACTCTCCTAGGAAGAGCAGAAAATCGCAAAGCTTCATTTTCCAATTTGCCAACTCAAAAGTGAAGGATCATTATATATAGGTTCTGTCTCACTCTACAGGCCTGACTTATCCCAAAGGGGCTGGGGTTTGGGCCTATTATCACTCAGCGGAGGTACAATGTGGTCACTAGACATTGTATCATGGTCAAATCTGGCAACGCAAGAGGTAGAACAAGAAACATTACAGTTAACTCATGATGATCTGTGGGCACGGGGGCCCAGGAAAAAGAACAAGGACATGTAATCCACATATAGTATGTTTGCACTTAAAAGATTCAGCCTCCTGCCTCAGGGATGCTTCTCCTGCTTGAAAGGAGAGAGCTGCTACTCAATTCAGCTCATTATCTTTCCTTCAACTTACTGAAGAGGACTATAAGGAAGTTAAAATGGACCTCTAAAAGGAAACAAGGAAGCCAATGGGCTTGGTGAATTCTCCCATGAATAATCAAGAGCTGGCTCAAGTGGAAAAGTATCTTGGTGTCAACAGAATCAGGAATGGAAGGAGTCCATGCACGTGACTAGAGAAGAAAGAAAGGAAGCAATGTCACAGCACTTGGTCAGCCCTTCCAATGCCCGAAGCACTCTGGGGAATCAAAGAGAAGGGACAGTCCCAGGCAGGTGCTGCTCTTAATAACCAACCCACTAACTCTTTGCATAGTACAAAGTACTTCCCTCACTCCAAGCCTGTGGAAGCACTGCTCTCCCCAATTCACAGACAAGAAAACCAGGGGAGGTTGGAGAGCTCTGGCCACCCAAAGGAGCCTTTCCAGTGCACGGCTGGTCACTTACATAGGCCTTCACGCTTTCCAGAGTCCATTCCGCAGGATCCAGCTCTTTGTTTCTTTTGGTCTTGCTTTCATCTTGTAGATATCGGCTGAAAACAAGAACAAAGAAAGACTAATCAAACCCAACAGCACCTTGGGGTCCAATGATCTGAACAGGTCCACCTTCCCCAAACCAATTTTTCATCGTAAACTTTTAAATGGAATTCTACATGGGACTGTGACACTAGAAAGAAGAAAAACTTCATCGAATACAAAATACCTTGAAGGGAAGGAGAAAACGTGACCTAGTACACATGCTACTAAGGAATGGTTTTTCTGCCACCGATTAATTTGGTCCAACTCTCTGGAAGGAAAACCAAGCCAACACTGACTTAGCTGTTGCCAATCGGTCCTTGTCCTGCCCTAAAGCCAAGATGCTGGTGGATACTGAGGAGAGGAGGGGACTGAAGATGGCACCTATAGGCTAAATCCTCCTGCAGCATCTATTTGCCTTGAAAGAAAGCCAATAAAGACAGGCAAGATGATGAAGGAATGAACTGGTTTCAAGCTAATAATGTGAGAGTGAATAAAGTTTATCAAACACTTCCAACAGGCTGATATGTGCACACAACCAGGGTAACTCCAAAGTTGTTCACATTTATACGTGACTTGGAGAAATGCTGAGAACAACAACAAAAACCCAGCAGAGAACTAGAAACAAACCAGCAGACACTTCCCTTTTAACAGGATCCTCAATGTGAACACTACTAGCCTGTGTGTATGGATGCATGAAAACTATGCCGTTAAGATACCCTCATCGCCTCCCTTGAAATTCACAGTCTGTTAGGTGGGGGGGAGGGCATTCTTAACCAGAGCGTTTTTCCTCCCTTCAAGCCCTGGGAAAAGATAGGTCAGAGATGTTACTAGGCACGACTCGAAAGAAGGGGAAACCAAAAATACTGACAATTATGATTTAAGGACCCCTTGGTCCTCAAGATACATTTTCCTCCAATACAGATTTAAAAGGGTCAAAATGCATGTCATTTCCTTCCCTGGGTCTCACGTTAATCTGAGTCAATTGTATTAAGTTCGACCAATATTGATTCATAATAAACCTATGGAGTACAAAACCACTGGGGTTGAATGAGGGCTAAAAGAAGAGAAACAAAGTCAAAATAAAACGGTTCCTGTCCTCATGGAACTTACAGTCTGATAGAGGCATTTGGCACATAAAGAGATGAACCAAAATACAAAAGTATCCAATCCAACAAGGATTTATCAAGGCCCCAATGAGGCATGAGGCACTTGGCTGGACACTGGCTCACAAACACCCTACCATGCAGTGAACTTCACGAGAACTGTGCTCTACGAATTACTTTTCTTCCCAACTTCCGAGATGAGGCTCAGAGGATTAAGTGGTTTGACCGCAGCCACAGGCTCAGAAATGGGATCTGAACCCACGGCTGTCTGCTTCCAAGTCTGGCACTCCACATTTGCTGCAGAGGCCACCTTGAGGAGACAGATGAAATCTTCTATTTTATTCTTACATAACACACAGGAGCTACTCCAGTTCCTTCATTTTACCCATCAGGAATCTGGGGTGTTAAATGACTTACAAGCTCACTCCAAGGGGGCTTTGTACGTGGTTCCCCTGAGCTCTGCCTATTCACTGCCAAACATAACTAGGAAGGGGCAGCATACTTGGGTGGAGGCCTGTCTTCTAAAAGGAAGCACTAATGAGCAGTGGATACTATCTCTATAAAGCCCAGGGCTCACAAATAGACATGACCTATCACAAAATACAGCAGATAAAATGAATGTCCATAGTACACATCAAGATCATCACTCTTGAAGAGAAATATTCCAAAAACAAGTAAAATGTTTTAAAATGCTTCCTGCTCTTCAAAGTGCCAGAACCAGCCAAGCCACATTAGAGCCTTCAATCCAAAGCAGACTGGTAAATCAATATAGAAGTTAATTGATGCAAGTGCCAACGCTTACGATAAAAATGTTATGCTCTGATAATTGCAGTAATAGTTCCTACTGAGCTCTTAATACACTGTTATTTTTCTCACTCCGCACACTGTCCCTATGAAAAGGACAGGAGGCATCACCTCTCCAGAGGCTTTCTCTCTCCCTACTTCTGAGGGAAAGCTCACCATAGATGGTCCCCACCCAAAGCCTTGGGCCTCCTGCAAGGGCCAGCAGGAATTCCTTCCTTCCGTTTTTTGTCTCTTCTGTTTCTCTCTTCACTGGCTCCTTCCTCACTGCTTACAAACAAGCTCAGGCTTAACCTTACCCCTTATCCTTTTAAGAAAAGCTCTCCTCCCTTTTGCTAGCAAACTTCTTTTTTATTTTTTAATTAATTTATTTTGATTTATTAACAATCACTTCCACAAGCTTGTGAGTTTTAAATTTTTCTCCCGGAACAGCTAGGTGGAAGTCAGGAGCACCTGAGTTCAATTCCGGCCTCAGACCAAACAACCTTACACTTACTAGCTGTGTGACCCTGGGCAAGTCACGTAACCTCAACTGCCTGAAAAAAAAAAAAAAAATTTCTCCACCTCCCTCCCTGAGACGGCACGCGATCTGATATAGGCTCTACATATACATTCCTATTAAACATATTTTCACATTAGTGATGTTGTAAGGAAGAATTAGAACCAATAAGAGGAACCACAAGAAAGAAAACAAAATAAAACAGAAGAAAAAAATAGCAAATAGTATGCTTCCATCTGCATTCAGGCTCCCTATTTCTTTCTCTATATGTGGATAGCATTTTCCATCATGAGACCTCGGGAGATGTCTTAGATCCTTGCATTGCTGAGAAGGGCTAAGTCTATCAACATTAGTCATCGCACAACTTGGCTATTACTATGTACAACGTGCTCCTGGTTCTGCTCAATTCACTCAGCATCAGTCCATACAAGTCTTTCTAGGTTTTTCTGAAGTCAGCCTGCTCATCATTTCTTATAGCACAATAGTATTCCATTACATTCATATACCACAATTTGTTCAGCCATTCCCCAATTGATGGGCATTCCTTCAATTTCCAATTCTTCGCCACCACAAAAAGAGCTGCTATAAAGATTTTTGTACATTTGAGTCCTTTCCCTGTTTTTATGATATCTTTGGAATATAGCCCTAGAAGTGCTACTGCTGGGTCAAAGGGTATGCACATTTTTTTTTAGCCCTATAGGCATAGTTCCAAATTGCTCTCCAAAATGGTTGGATCATTTCACAACTCCACCAACAATCGCTAGCAAACTTCTTAAATGAATAACTCACAACTTACTCACTCAGTTGGAATTATCCATTACCGCCATTTGCTCAGACTGTCCTCTCCAAGGCCAACAGTTACCGAGGAAGTCAACGCAGAACAGCGGGAAGAGCAGTGGTTCCAAAGTCCAAGAAGCTGGATTCACATCACACTTTTGACACCTACTAGTGTCTCTCAACCTTCCTGGGCCTCAGCTACCTCATTCATATGTAAGCTAAGTGAAGGTAAGCTCCTAAAGGGCAAGGCGTTTTTCAATTCTTTGCAGTCACACTCAGAGCCTTTGTCCAATGCCTGGAGGAGAACAGAAGTGCTATAAATGCCTGCTGATGGACTGAAATGGGAGTACCCGGGGGCAGGGCGCACTGTACCAGCCAATGCCTGCCAGCTCTAGAGCCAGGAATCCACGACCTATCCATCTCCTGCTATCCAGATTGGACCATTTTATTTCAGGTTCCATCGCAAGCCCTAACAGTGTGCTGAACATGGTGGATGTTTCATAAACGTTCACTGAATATTACAAGTGAATGGTACCAGGGACCTACAATAGTATTCCTTCTAAAGTCCCTTCCGGGCCAAGATCCTGACTGTTGATCAACTCTCCTGGAAAAGGTATGTGTGAAGGGGAAGGTGGGGAAGAGGGGTGTCTCATACATATTTATCTACAAAATACAAAATCCATACAAAGTGATTTCTGGAGGGAAGGCCTAGCTCTAACATGAAGGGCAGTTTGTTAACAACGGAACAGGGGTTCCAGGGGGCACAATGCAGGGCTATACCAGACTGTGATGCCTCTGAACTACGGCATGTCACGTGCAGACCAGGAGAATAGTCTGGTGCAGCTGTGAGGGGGCCTGGTCAGCCACCCCACCAGTGATGGGGCCAGGGGTAAGCTGCACTTCTTTCCTGAGAATTTCTTCATGCATCACATGAGTCAGCTGGGAGCAGGCAATCTCCAAGGTCCTTTCTAATTCTAACATTCCGTGATCCCATGTCCCCAAGTCCAGGGCCCCATGACTCTACCTCACCAAGAACAAGTCCTCTCTGGTTATTGACAAGGTTACTGGTTTGGTCAATCAGAGCACTGCTGTCAACGAGACGTGTCTGGATCGTTAGCCAGGCATATAACAGAGCATCTCAACAACCACCACCATAATAAAGTCTGAATTACCCCATTCACACATTTTCTCACTTGAGCCTCACAATAGGCTTTGTGAAAGAAGGAGGCATTACAGGTATTATGCCTGTTTTATAGCTGAGAAAACTGAGACTCAAGCTAAACTTGTAGACAAGCTGACCTGCATCGGAAGAACGCAGAATTCAACATCTATGCATTTGGACCTAATAACAGATCAAGGTCACCTTGGGGGGAGGCCTCCAGTCCTTAGCCCTGTTCTGACATTTTTATAAAAAACCTTGTTCAAAAACCATAAACGTTATGCATCTCAAATGTGTGGCTAACACAAGACTAGGAGGGAGAGCCATGGCACTGGACAACAGACTTGAGATCCCAAAAGACAGGGACTGAAATGATGGCCCAAAGCTAACACGGGAAAAACAGAGATAAATGTAAAGTCTCCTCCTTAGGGGAAATAAAATCAACTGTCCTCGTACACACTGGAGGGGATGCATCTCAATAAGAGTTCATTTATAAAAGCTTAATAGGAGGCAGCCAAAAACCTTCACTGAATCTTGGGTTTCGCTAGGGAGAAGAGTACCCAGCACGAGAGGTCTGGAGGGAGAGAACCCCACATTCTGGAGGAGCACTTTGGTTTTCTCCTCTAAGGTGGGCTTACCTGGCTTGGCTCCCTGGTGGCTGCACCAGGCAGCAGTTGCCTGCCTGAGAACACTCGGCAGCTCTGAGGACCGCATTTTAAAAGGCACACTGACAGGCTGATGCACATCAAGAAGATGTTGAAGAGACTGGAAACCACAGTACAAAACCTGGGTTCCAATCCCACTTCTGATAATTACCGCCTGGGTGACCCTGGGCAAGTCCCAAAATCAGGAGTTAGACTAGAGGCCTATCAGGTCCCTTCCATGTCCAGATCTAGGATTCTACAGTCCGGAAGAGCTGACAGAACGGTTTTTAAGTCCAGCAGGAGGTGAGTAAAACAGTTGTCAAACATCTCAAGGACTGTGATGGAGAAAGGGGATTCAACTTGTTCTAGACAAGGTCAGGGCAGACCTGGGACTGGAGGGAAGCCAATTCTGGCTCCACCCAAAGAAGAACTTTCTAAGAGTTAGAGCTGTCCAAAAACGGGAAAGGCTGCGTCCCTGTCATGGGACTGGTCAAGCCAAGACCACCTGGCACTGGCAGCCACAACAGAAGGAAGATGGCACAGGCAGATGAACTCTCTCAGCTCTTTCCAATTTTCTGACAGCTCGAGGGTCAGAGCAGAGAGGGAGATGACCAGGTTTGCTCTGGTGACTCTTGTCTCTATTCGCCCAGATGTGGTGAGAGGGCATGACCCAGAGCCGAGATCCCCATGTATCAGGGAAAGGGATATGTCTCACTTGCGTGAGCTGATGCAAAGTGAAATGTACTATGTACAAAGTAACAGCAATACTGTAAGATGATGAGCTGTGAACGACTTGGCTATTCTCGGCAATGCAACCATTGAAGACAACTCTGAAGGACTTAGGATGAAAAATGCTCTCCATCCCCAGAGAAAGAACTGATGGTTTCTGAATACAGATCAAAGCATACTTTTTTTACTTTCTTTTTATTGAGGTTTTTTTATTTGTTTGTTTTTTGGTCTATGTTTTCTTTTACAACATGACTATTATGGAAATGTTTTGCATGACTACACATGTATAACCTACATCAAACTGCTTGCCTTCTCAATGAGGCGAGGTGAGGACGGAGGTAGGAAGAGAATTTGGAACTCAAAGTTTTAAAAACGAATGTTAAAAATTGCTTTTATGTGTAACTGGGGAAAAATAAAATACTAAATAAAATTTGGAAATACAAAAAAAAAAAGAACATCTCTCCATCCAGACCCGAGGAAAATCAGAGCAGGAGCACAGCTGGGGTGTTTTCCAAGAACGTTGTTCCTGACACGTTTCTCAAGAGTTTAAGTCAGGGTGACCGTTGACAATTTATCCTATCTCAGAAATGGTCATATTGTGCTGGCTGATCCCCGCAATTACCAGTGAGGACACCTGCTTACCTACTCCCTATTTTCAACTACAAAATAATTCCCTAGGGGCACACTGGCTTAAACAAGACATGTCTTGTCTGAGGAAAAAAAGCTGATCTGAGCAGTGCTCAGGACCTGAACGAAGCCTGCGCGATGTACAGCCATTTATCAGTAAGCTAAGGAAAGCACAAGCCTGACCATGTCCTGGCCAAACCTCCAGCAGGAGTTCCTCCACAGTCTGAACGTTGTACTTTCTAATTCAAAGACATTTAATTCTGATCAATTTTGATGATGGGTTAGGGTTGGCACACCACACAAAACAAACCAATATGTGGCAATGTTTCTGAGATTTAAGTCAGTAATTTTTCATCCGGGAGGCCTGAAAAGGCCTGGATTGGTAAAGAGATCACTGTTATTTAGCAGACATCCTTGCCCCTCTGGCCCAGAAGGCAGGCAGCCTGTTTTTACTTACAGCATCAGGCTACAGATTCGGTGGCCCTTTTGTCCCATGGAATCCAAGTACCTAATAGTCTTTTTCCTCACATCTATCACCTGGAATGGAAAAACACACACATCAAAAGTCAGAAACCACCTGGTCCTACTTGGACCAGAAGTGGAAAACTTCACTCAGTTTGAAGGGCTAAAGAAAACTTCAAACCCCTCAAGTGTATTAAAAATCCCCCCTACTATTCAGCTCTAAATTTCTCACAGGCAAGGATTACATTTTCTACTTGGCCAAAGCTACGGCCTTTAACAAAGCAGAATGAAATGAATTATGACGCAGAAGGAAAGAGAGAATGTGTGTCTCTGGCAGTGGCAGTGGTCACTGTTTACTTTCTGCAGAAAGCAGCTCTTCCGCAGGTCACAAGGTAGCCAGCACATAGTTCTGCCCTCAAATGTCCTGGAACAGTTTCTATCATACGCAATACATTAAGACCCAAGTGGCTAAGGGAATGCTTTCAAAGTATTTTTTGAAATAAACTCAACTTACCACCAAGCTCCAGTGTATCCTGCGGTGAATGGGCACCAATATAAGCTCTTGTTCAAAGAGGTCCACCCCTTTGGTCCATCTTTTCACTGCTTGGTAACCACCAGTACTCAGTTTGGGGAAGAAGAACGTGCTAAATGCATGAAGCATTGGCAAGCCTTGCTTTTTATTTCTCTCCACCAGAAGATTCATGTAAAAATTAATAATCTACAAAACACCAAAAAGGGAGGTCAGGAGAAGCTCAAACTGGAGAAATGCTTTTTCCCACCACAATGTGAAAGCCCAGGAAAGCCCAGGGCCGAGCCCGGCCCATCACGGGTGCCCCGTGACTTCCTTCAGCCTTGATGAAGGCCCACTCAGGGAGGAAGGTGTGTAGGAATGGGGATCCAAAAGGCAAGAGAACCAGGAATGGGAGTAAATGAAAGTCATGGGGAAGTGTCAGCACAGAAGGGGACAGACTGCATACAAAAGACAGACAGGAGGCAGGAGATACAGAAAGAGCAAAGATCCAAATGTGAGAAAAAAGGGGAAAAAAGAGGGAAAATGTGATAGAAAAAATGTTGGGAAAAGGACAAGAGGAGACAAAAATCATGATTTGTTCCTTTGCACTCTTTGAACCCATCTAGAATTTCTAAAACGGGATGAAGTCATATAAAAAGTGTGTTGGAGCAAGGTCAGTTCAATTCATCAGAATAGCTACTGAGGTCCTACCTTCTTTGTGCTAGGAATCGGGCACGCAAAAGCCAAAGCCCCAAGGCCAAGCCCTAGTGTCGGGCAGATGGACTAGAAAGGAGAGAGGCAGGAGCCCGAGGCCGAGAGGCTCACACGGACAGGGTAGATGCAACAAACGAATCTGACGTGGAAGAGAAGAGTCAGCCTAGATGCAGGAAGGTGTGGAGCAGCAGAAACAGCACCAGAAAGAGAGCAGGGTGAGCAGAGCACACGATCGAGCCAAGCCCGTGCCGGCAACAGCTAACGGCCAGTGAGGGTGCAGGCCGTGACTCTGGAAAGGCAGGCCACAGGCAGGCCACGGGCGGACCACGGAGGGAGTGAGAGGCCAGGCTGAGGACATGACAAGGATCCCTGGTCAGCCGTGTGCCTTCAGTAGCTCTGTGCTGAAGCGCCTCGACAGGGCAAGGCTGGAGGCAAGAAGGGAAACCAGGAGGTCACTGCAGTTTCGGCAAGAGGGGGTCAGGCCAGGACTAGGGTGGCTGTGTGAGTGGGGAAAGGGGAGAGGGTCTAAGAGGCCGTGGAGGAGAAGGGGCCAGGAGTCTAGGATGACACTGACATTTGTGAATCTGTGTAACAGAAGGAATGCTGGTGCCCTCAACAGATACAGGCAAGTCTGAACAGGGGCAGGGTCAGAGGGGAGGTAATGAATTGTTTCAGATCTGTTACGTTTGAGATGCCTTTGATAACCAGCATCATGATGCCAACAAAGTCCCTGGCACTAACAAATGGGTGGACCTCAGAAACAGGTATCACTTCATCAATGGGGATGACTTCAAAGAAGATGTGGTATCTCTGCTTTGCTGCTGCCCTCAAAGGACTGGGGGATCTGTCCATGACTTCCAGCTACATTTCCTCCATGGAGGGCCTCCCCCATTAGAAGGGGGGCCCCCGGGAGCAGGGACTGTTTCGCTTTCCTATTTTATCCCCAGAGCTTAACATACAGCCACTGTTTAATAAATACTTGCTTGAACACTTACTTCTGTAGGTCTAGGATTCAGGAGTGAGATTAAAGCTAGAGATGTAGGGACGAGCTGCACGTCTGCAAACTGAACCCCAAACAGAAGCAGCACCAGGACACAGCCTGGGGCTCCTAAGTGGGAACCAGCCTCACTCATACCGAGAGACGGAGGACAGTGACCCAGCAAAGGAACCTGGGAGGGGAAAGCTTGATGCACAGCAGAAGCCACTGACCCAGGCAAGTCCATTCCGCAAGACCTCGTCTATAAAAGAAGGGCTCGGACTGGAGGGGCTCCGAGGTCCAGTCGTGACCCCTGGAAACTTCGGCGAGTCTAGCAGTTTAGGCCAACTGGTCTGGTCACTAGCCAGACGGAAAAGAGTGGGAGGCAAGAAGGAGAAACAGGGGAGGAGCACGGCTGGAAAAGGGCAAAGAAAGAAGATGAGCAGCCCGGGAGGGACAGCAGGGGAATGACTGAACAGGAAGCCTGATGAAGGGGTCCAATCCCCAAAGGGCTTCATTCGCTGTGCCTGCTGCTGCACCAGCACCAGGCACCACTCCTGAATTTTCTGGCTCAAAGTGGCTCCTCCAAGCCTGGTAGCTGGGCATGCGTGTGGGCTGTTTTGTGTGTTTATATCATTCAGATGGGTTGGGCTGGGCTTTTTTTTCCTGATAAAATTTAAAAAGCCGTATTGCAAAACTACTATAGCATTATGATGGTCCAAAGTGTGGGGGTCAGGGTGGGGGTGGGGTGGAACCTGACCTCATCGTTGAGCCAGTTATAATTCTTCAAGGTGTGTATGTCCCCACGAGTGATTCTTAATTTGAAAGCGCTGCTTAGGATCTCGTCTTGGGGGCCACAGCCGAGGGCACTGTTAATCTCTTTCTCCATATCCTGAAATATAAAGTCCACAATTTACAATGTTAATTTTTGAACCACACAATAATGAATTATCACTTAAATCAGGCAAAAATCATTGTATTTAACTCTCAGCAACACAATTTTAATAAAATATATATAGACTATTGACCTAAGCGGAAACAAAATAAGATCTGAATTTTTTTTTACCCAGGGTATTGTGCAATATTACTACTGGATAAGAAAATATGTTCAATTATTTGGCTTCTGGCTCCAATGAGTTAGTAGAGTACATGCATATGGTCTCTGTTCAACTACCCCCCCAGACAACTCAACTAATTTAGTGACAAGCTAATATGTTTTGTGTCCACTCATTCTCCACATGAAGCCTTTTAGGAATAGAAAGTGACAAAGATTTGAAGTGTTCGGCCTACACTAAGGCTCAGGTACCAGGAAATGCCTTTTAAACCAAGACTCTTAATGATCTCCCTGCCTCGGACCCTAATGAGAAGAAGATGGACTGCAACTGTTTATGGTGGAACTTTGCTGTCCCCTCTGGGTACGGAGAAAGTGAGCAGAACCTAAGTAGGATGAAGGAGAACTAAAAAGTTAGGCATTATTCCTGGTTTGGGGTGGCTTCACTGTTTCAACCAGATGGGAATTCCTACTTGACAGAAATGAAAGTTACCAAAATGCATTAGTAAGCCCAGGAGAAACGACTTTTTGATTTCCTCTGCTGGTGCCGCCTCCCACTGAACAGATAACAAGGAGTCACGTATCGGGACTGCACACACAAAAGTCGATCCTTTCGCCAGCCGCTTTCCTTTCTTTTACATCTTCTATTATTACATGATGGAGCAGTTCCACCAGTACCGGCTGAGGTCTACCCTAGGCCTAGCACTGGATTTGTGGCCCCGAGGGTATGGCGGGCATCTTACCACAATGCTACCTTAGGAACCCGGGCAGGAGCCCTCAAGCACACGTGTCCTCCCAGGCCAGAGGCAGAAGTGTGTGTATTTGTGTGTTGGGGGGTGGGGAGTCCTGATTGTCCCCCACCATCTCTCTGATCTGTGTGACCTGGAGTAAGTCTCCCTACCTGTCCGAGCCTCGTCTGTCACTGAGGGACCATGTGGCCTGTGTGGCCTCTTCTAGCAATATGACTGTAGGACCCCAAGTGCCAGAGGAGTTCAGATGAAGGACAGATAAGCATGGGCTGGGCTAGCTGGGGAACCTGGTGGAGTTAGTACTCGATGGATGGACAGGATCTGAAAAAGGAGCAGAGCAGGGATTTCAGACAGGGGCCACCACAAGCAAAGGCATTGAGGCAGCCCTGAGCATAGGCCACAAAGGTGGAGAAGGAAACCAGCCTCACTGCTACAGAGGGGACATGCTAGGGAGTGGTGGGAAATCAGACCCGGGGGGGTGGGGTGTTGGGCTGTGATGAAAAACCCTGAAGGCCAGGCTAAAAAGTGCATGTTCAAAGGGACAGATATGATGAAAATGATGTTTTAGGAGAAAAAAATCAATCTGACAGTACTGTCTACAGGAGGGGCCAAGGAGGCTGAACCTAGAGGCACAAACCCAGCTGAGAAGCCCCAGATGAGAAGAGATCTGGGCCTTCCAGAGGCTGTGGAAACAGAGAAGAGAGAACCTGAGTGCTGTGTGATGGATTAAGAACAAGAAGGCTCAAGAACGGTGACCAACGATGACACCACCTGGCATAGAGTTATAGCTGTTTTGAGGGTGACGCGATGGGGAGGAAATCCAAGGGAGTGTGCCCCCACCAGCACTTGAAAATCAAGGGCCTGTGACTTCTAAGGGCAGAAGGTCATCCTGATAAAGAATCTTCCTGGGGGAATTTTCTTAAGCCTGGATTTCCTGTTGTTTTAGATGAATCTAAGAAGAGACTATGAACTATGCTCATTGCTTTAACTTCAACCTATTTTTCTAATTTTCATACGTAAGCCCCACTCATCTAAAAAGTCACAGGGCACTCATTCCTAACACCAAAAAGATGCCAAGTGTCACGAGTCAAGCTCTAAACACTGGGGCCCACTTTTCCTCCCCACAGTTAACAGCTGTTGGCACACATTAGGCAGTGACATCAGCTCTGATCGTGGAAGCCACCCCACGATCTCTCCTGATTCCTGTGGTCCAAGTGACTGCCCACTGCCTTGCTCTGATTCCTGTCCACTGGCCACGCCCAGTACCTCGGTGAGCTCGGGGGGCTCAGGGGGCTCCTCGGGTTCCTTCTCTTTGCCTGAGCTGGGCTGTTCTTTCATCTCGAGCCCAGAGTGTCTCTGCTTAAACACAGTGGTATTGGCACTGCCCAAGCGAAGTCTGGCAGACACTTCCTCTGAGAGATCAGGCTCTCGCTGCCGCTCCTTTGCCTGTTCAAAGAAAATTGCTTGATAGTTTTACTATTTTCAATGCTTGGGCACATAAAACACGAGATTTCTCCGAAACATAAAGCAGCACAGAGGCAGGAGAGGAAGCCAAACCAGCCCACCCTGTAACTCCAACCTCCCTCCATTCATGGGCTCGCCTATCACTATGTGGGTCAGAGGAAGGGGACACGAGGCCCACGCACCCGTGCCAACCATGCCAATGTCCACGTCTGCTAGAAAGACCAAATCAGTTTGACAGGTCACATGCTAGAGCCATAATTTTAAGTCAGAAATTTCACAAAGATAAATCAATGCTTCTTTCCCCCTGGGGGAGCAGCCCCTGTGGGCACAAAGTACATCAGTGGGCAGCAGGCAGCCTTCCACCAGGCTTCCGGGTGGTTAGCTGCCTTCTCCTACAAAGCCACCACAGCTGCGAGGAGTGACGATGGGTTGGTTGCTTCTGACCCAATTTTAAAGAACAGCTGACAGCCACAGGAGGGTACTGAGCTGTGGTCACACAAATTTGTCTTTTATCTGCACTGTGGCATTTTACTTGCCAGATCATTAATGGCTAATGGCAGATGGACTTTAACAGGGACCCTGGGGGGGGGGGTCGGTGATTAAAATTCCTCCTAGCAAGGTCTAGCAAGGTTGATATGATCAAACCAGAAGTGATCCGAAGAACTGCCACTGACTGATTAGAGCCAAGATCCACTGACCCTATGGGAACCAAGACCCGGATCCTTAACAAACAAAGGCATTTGTCTAGCGCTCAGTCTGTGCCAAGCACCAGTGACAGAAGCAGAAAAGTCAGACTTAGCAATTTTTTCTCCCCGTGTCCTCATACCTAAGGTCATCTGGGTTCCTCCTTAACTTTGCAAAATATTGTGCTGAAATCACTAGTGTCTGCTGAGTCTCTTGAGCTCCTTTGACCACAAAGAATTCACTCTTCCGAATTACTTAGGACATTTGTTTACAAACCAAAGGTCCTGTTGAGAGAAGCCTCTGAATACGAACATTCTGAGGCAGGTCAGAAACCTTAGCTCCCAAAGCAAAGTCCCTGGCGGCCTTCTCGGAGGACATGCCGCCTCCCCTCTGGGGGTGCACACAACTCACCTCCTTCCCCAGAAGTGAAACAGTCCACTTCAGCTCTGCCAAAAAGCCCGGGGGGGGGGGGGGGGGGAGGGGCGGGGAGATGCTCACTCATGCCTGCTTCTCCAAATCAGAAAGAAGAGGATCCCAAAGCAAGATGAAGAGGGTTTCTCTCCTCCGTGATCAAAAGAACACAATGGGAACAATGGAATTATGGGTGAAATAAAAGGTAAACCTTGGATTCGGGGAACCTATTTTGAAGTATTACAAAGCCACATAGCAATTCTCTGGGCTGTTTTTTTTTGTTTTTGGGTAGGAATCAAAAAGTTAACATTATTCAAATAAAAGAACAAAAATATGTTAAAATAGAGTTCCATACTTACACTTTCATTTTCTGATTTTTGTTCAACTGTCTTTTCAGGTTCTGGAATTTTTGCCTTATGATGCCTGAAAACAGAAAGTATGAACTTTATTGACAAATACAACTTTGCACAATTCTTAACCTTTTCAGAAGACTTAAATCATGTAGGAGAGGAAGAATGAAAGGGACACTTTTCAAAACTATGATTGGGGCCAGAATTCCTAACCAAACAAGAAGTAGAGGAGATTACAAAAACAAAATAGCAATAACAATGTGAAAAAAAATGACTAACAAATGAAAACTAAATGAACTTCTGAGGTTTCACCTCCAACCCAAGAAATTAGCAAAAATGATTAAAGACAGAGGTAAGTCAATGCTGGAAGGATTGTGGTAAGATAGGCACATTAATACGCTGCTGGGGAAACTGTTAATTGACCCCACTGCTCTGGATGACAATCTGGGGAAAAAGAATTTTTTTAAGGAGAATAAACGTCCATACCCTTTAATCAAGCAATCCCACTCCTGGGCATATGCCCCATTTTACAGTTGAGGAAACTGAAGCAAACAGGGTTAAGTGACACGCCAAGGTTCACATAGCTAGTAAGTGTCTAAGACTAGATTTGAACTCAAGTCCTCCTGACTTTAAGTCCAGTGCTCTCTCCTCTGTTCAAGCAGAACAAAAAGAATGATAGACACAATGGTGACCACAGGAGTGAAAACTCTCAAGAGAGCAGCTGAACACAGAGGAGTGGCAACAACTCAACTCTGTTCGGGAGAATAAGCAACGGAGCATCTCCCTCCTCTGGGCACTGAGCAGGTCATTTTGTCAGCTCTTTTTGCTCTTTGTCATGAGTCAATTCAGGTTGGGAGGAGTCAAGTGGGGAGACTGTCAAATGAATTAGGTGTGAAAAACAAAGAGAAACCATTTTTTTAAAAACAGGAGAAGTCTGGTGCAGCAGAAAGAACAGGTATTTGGAGTCTGAAGCCTGGCAATGCCACCCCCTCCATATGGGCCCTTTGGCACGCCATGTAACCTCTCTGAGCCTGTTTCCTCTCCATGAAAATGAGGGAATCGGGCTTGATGATCTGCAAAGTTCCTCCCAACTCTCAACCTACAATCCCAGGTGCTCAGAACACCTTGAATTTATATAATCTTGTTAATTCCCTGACTTCAAGGGTCTATGATGTGGGTTTCCCCTTCAGCAACATGGAGAGTGGAACTCTGACAATTTAGCTGTGACCACAAACCCCATCACCCTGCAGCCTCGCTCATGACAAGCCTCTCCAGACTTGGCGAGACTGGATCTCGGGTCATGGGCAGACAGGTAGCTTTGGGGCTGCAAGGTGAAGCCCTTCCAGATGAGAAGCAGAACCTGTCAGAGCTTGCCTTGGGATCCTTACCAGAGAGAATGAGATTTTCTCACCAAAAAAGAGAAACAAACAAAAATCCTTATGTCCTGTCTTACTTTTCCCAGCACATTTAAAATTCTGAATATTAACATCAAGGAAAATGTAAAAGAGTGAGACATTTGCTAGTAAAATGCCAGAGGAAGAAGGCTTCCCTGGGCATCAATAGTATGGTCCTCTCTAGGTTCCTGTTTGGGGGTAACACGGGGCTGAGCACGCTGTCCCAGACTACATGACCTCCTCAATGAGACTCACAGTCATTCCAGAGATCAGTCACAATCCAGAGGCAAAAAGACAAGGGGATAAAGGATGCCTTTTGCCCAGATTATGACATGCAAATGGATGGAAAGTCTAATGAGTTAGCCCAACAGTACCAAGGCCATAGACACACACCGCAGGTAGGGAATTAGCCAGGACCAGGAGAAAGATGGATTTGCTTGGAAAATTACATAGCATTTTTAATGATCTCAAGCTGCCCCTAATATAAAATCCATCACATAGTAATAACAATATTCTCCCAGTGATATCATATGGCTGCAAATGGCAAGTCAATTAACCCCAACTGCCTAAAAAAAAAAAAAGTGGCATCCCAGAAAGATAAAGGACTGAAAAAGGAGGGTGGCCTGTCTCACAGGGAAAATGTGGGACAGAGAGCGTAACGCCTCCCCAAAATGAAGAACCAAGTGGCAGCCTTCAGAGCCTTCCTGTGGAAGGTTCGCACAAAGGGTTGCACACAGGCAAGCCCGGATGGAAAGCGGCCTGCACTGGGGGAAGCAATGGCCACTCTGAGGAGCTCACACATCCACTGGAGTATCTATGTGAGAAATGGAAGGCAAAGAGCTTGCAGAGGCTGAAGAGAGAAGAGAACAGGGAAGGCTCCCTCAGGAGAATGGGACCAATGCCACAAGAGAGGTACAAACAACCTGCTCAGGCAGTATGGGGGGAGGCCTCATGGGGGAGCTGAGTCTGACGAATAGCTCAGCTGGGCAATGCTGAGATCCTGCTGCAATCCCAAACAAAGGAAAGAAGAGAACAGCCCAGCACAGGAGTAGAGATGACCACGGGGAGGGTAAGTTCAAGGAAATGACATTCACCCGTTCTTGTCAAAGTATGACAGTGAAATGATGAGCTCAGACTTTCTGCAGAGACGTCATGATGCCTCAAGAGAGATGCCCAAAGAGATCGTCTACTCTCCCACCCGAGGAAGACTTGAGATTTCTAGAGAATGTCACATTCTTAAATAGAACCACTCCAAAAACATTTCTTGAAAGCCCCCAGAAACCATCAGCTAGTTACCTCCTCTCATTTCTCATAACACGAACAGGTCCCCATGATTCAGTAACTCTGTCTGTAAGGAACAAAGATGAGACAAAGATTAGACTTGATCAAAACTGAAATACGTACATAACCATGCGCACATGCACACTCTCTCTCTCGCTCCTTCCCCCTCCCTCCCTTCCTCTCGTTCCAGCTGAGAGGGCTGCTAAAGTATCAAGCTGCTGGTTCTCAGGAAAGGTTGAGACCAACAATTTCAAATGACGTCAGTCAATTCTCACAAAAGAAGGTGCCTGATTATATTTTTCACCCATGATCTTCACTGTGAATAGACCCCATGTGTTCAGAACTGCCATCTGGTGAAAGGTGGAGAATCTGAAAATCTCAAAAAACTATTGGAGGATGGTAACAAAGAGGCACCTTTTCCCCCTCAATCACCTGTTTCTAAACACCTAATGTTTCAAAACGTTGTCCTTTGCCCTGCACAATACATAATCTTTCAAATTAAGACCGCATGAAATACGAAATGTGAACTCCTAGTATGAACTGAGTAGAAGATTGTAAAACCAGGCCACAGATGGGAACTCACATTGCTTTGGAACAAGCTGACCTGCTCTCATCTCCAGGTGATGGTCTTCCCCCCAGCCACCACTCCTTACTGCTTCCACATGACTTCGTTGAGAACTTAGGAACAGCAAAATTTCAGAAGATCAGAAACAAGAAAGGGCCACAACACTCATTCATTTCCCGCTCAGTAAGTTTCTCTAAACAGGTATTACATAATGCCCTAGGGACATATACGGGAGCAGAGGGAGCCACACAGCCCAGGCTAATGTCCAGAACAAGTTAGGGCAACAGAAGGACTAATTTCAAGCCCTAGTTTTGACACTGAGTGACTGTGGGCAAATCAATCTTTCGGTCTTACTGTTAACTATGAAACCTGGATAATACTGGTAACATAAAAATGTCATGGAAACAAAATAGTGAAAAATAAATATTATCTAAAAAGGCCTCAGGGCAGTTAGGTGGCACAGTGGAAAGAGCACTGGCCCTGGAGTCAGGTGGACCTGAGTTCAAGTAAGACCTCAGACACTTGACACTTACTAGCTGAGTGACCCTGGGCAAGTCACTTAACCCCAACTGCCTTGCAAAAACAACAAAAAAATTTTTTTAATTTTTAAAAAAAGGCCTTTAAAGAGTCACAACCTAAAAACGCAATAGAATTCAGTAAGTTATAAGAACATTTCAGAGCTTTACTACTAAAAACTAACTATAGCACACTTCCAAATATCTTAAGTTTTTTTATAGAGAGAGGTATGGTCGAGAAATTTGGGTTAAGTGTGCTAGGATCAAAGGCGTTCTCGTTAAATTGGTTTTTTTAGCCTAACAAACTCCATGACCCATTAAGCTCATTCTTCTTTTCTCAACAATACCTAGCCCAGGTTGTGAATTTTCATCAAAACATCTATGTAACTCTCCAACTTTCTGGCTAGACTACCGAATGCTCTAGAAGGATCAGAAGGAAACTCAAGAAAATAACTCTGCTGACTACACAGGTCACAAGTATAATTCCCATAAGAGAAATTTGTTTTACCAAAATTTCAAATGAAATTGGCTACTTCCGTTTCACACACACAGGAGCTTCAGAGTCAAACGCAGTGCCAACTGTCAGGCCACACCTAAGACCTGCAACGGTGTTTCAGGAACCTGAGCTAGAATTCCATTGATGCACACACATCTCTGACCTGCAACCTGCAATACCCCCCCCCAACCCTGCACTGCTTTTCCGTATGAGCTAACCCTCTGGGCCCCAGCTTTTACCCTCCGCTTCTTAAACAAAGGTCACAAGGCTTCTGAAGTTCCTATTTCTCTTGGTGGATGACAGAAAAGGTCAAGAGAAGGGTTGTTTCCTGTCATCAATAGGACAGATAAGGTGCCCTTACTTTCCCTGGCTCACTCCATGGAGGAAAGCTGCAAATTCCTGGGATAGAACCTTGAGGAAACATTCTCATCTTTAACCCCCAATTCTCAGAACTCAAAACAGAAACGACCTTGCAGAGAAGGGAAAACAAACACAAGGGGACACCCAAGCTTCAATTTAAATGTGCGGTTGCCTGGTGGTAACTAGTGTTCTGGAGAGCTCATTTCCTCCTATTTGCTGAAAAGTGTCATTTCCATACTTACCAACCTCTCACGGGAACCATCATCAGACCCGTCAGGAATGAATGTCTCCCTTAATAATGTTCTACACCTGCCATGGCTCCTCTTCCTCCTCACTCAATAGCCAAAGGGGTCACCTCCTATCGAGACTAGTTCAACCAGTGGTTTTATAAGCTTCTGTGTCTCTGCCCCTACCCCCCCAAAATCTGGGCCCACCCCCTCCCATGCCCAGTTCAGCCTGACTTTCCCCTGGATCCCTGGAATCTCTCCCTTCTATAGTTAACGAGGCTTCCCTTCCTCTGGTATATCACCCCTCATGCATGCTTTCCTGGCTGCACCTTCCCTCATCCTCCCTTCCCCTGATACACTCCCTCCTAGAGGGAGGAGTCAGATTCCTGCCCACTGCTACTTCCAGCACCTGGTCCCCTGGCCACCAACGCTCAGCAAACTACTCCTTTGGAGGCCATCCTTACCTAGCCAGGCTCTTTACCCAAAACAGATCCTGCTGAATCACCGACCAGCCTCAAGATCCTTTCTCCTGTCTTCTGTACCAGGCTCACAGTCTGCCTCTCATCCCTTCCTCACCAGGACTCTTTCAGACCAACATCCCCCTGCGCTCAGGCTTTACTCTCCTCCCTTCCTCTCCTCCTCTCTCTCCCTTCTGTCCTCTTCTCCCACATCCCTTGCCACTTGTCCTACCATCTTTGTGCCTTGCCAAATTCCACCGTCTACTTATTCCATTCCCATTCATGCGCGGCTAAACAGAACTGGAAGACGTTATGCAGCCATATTGACTGGGTTCACCACAAATATATACCCTCTAATCTCTACTTGGCCCTCACTGCAGCAAGACAGTCCTTTTAATCCTCCTTAATGGATTCTTTATACCACTCCTCACAACAGCTGCTCCCAATCTTCTCTTTCTCACCCCCCCCATCAAACATGGTCCCACACTTAATTGAGAAAAGAGGCCATTCACCATGAGCTCCTTCTCTACTTACTCAATGTCTCACAACCTACTGACCTCATCCCCCATTCCTTCCTCTTTCTCTCCGATGGCCACCCTTCTACTTACACACTTGATCCAATTTCCCGTGTCACCCAGCATGTCGCCCTCTCCCCAACCCCAGCCCCCTTTTCCCCTCCTCTTATCTTTAATCTTTCTCCCTCTCTACAGGCTTAGCCCAGGTCTCCCCCATTCTTAAGAAATCTTCAGTTGCCCTTACCATCCCCTCATGTTATCTACCTTCCAAATGCATCACGTGATTTAATTGAAACTGCTTCCTCCCAACTTATTAATCATCTCTTTAACTGCCAGATCTGATGGTCTTTTCCTAATCCTCATTCTTCCTGACCTCTCTGACACCAACGGCCACTCTCTCTTCTGAGATCATCTTTGGGGTTCTGAGACACTATCACCTCTTGGTTCTCCTCCTATCTATCTGACCTTTACTTCTCAGTCTCCTCTGCAGGACTATCTGCCATATCCTGCCATCGAACTGCTGGGGTAACCCCCAGGCTCTGCCTAGGTCTTATCTTCTTTCGTCTCTCTCCTCTCAATGACCTTACCAGCTCCCATGGGTTCAATGATCATCTACACAGACTTCTCCACAATCTCTATGTAGCCAGTTACAACTCATCGCCAACTGCCTACTGGACATTTTGACCCAGATGTCCAAATCAGACCTCCTTTTTGTTTCTCCAAAACCTGCCTACCCTCCCTCTTTCACACAAGTGGACATCCTTTGCTCGCCCTCAGCCCACCCAGTCAGCTGCCCTCCGTCTAGTCCACCTCACATCCATCTGCTTCTCTATATTCAGATGGCCACCATGCTAATCAGATCCTCACCATCTCTCTCCTGGACCATTGCAACTGTCCCTTCATTGGCTTCCCCACCTCTCTAATTCCTTATCTCTTTAGCTTACAAAATGACAGTCCTCAGCACAATGTGACCACAGCTTTTGCTTGGTATTGAAAGCTCTTCACACACTGGTGCCAATCCATCTTACTGTCCACCTCACACACCCCCCCGCTTCACACACCACTCTACATCCTAGCCAACACAGAACATCCCTTCTCCCCTCCCTGTACCATTGCAAAGACTGTCCTTCCCTCCATCCTGAGCTCTGCCTAGAGACCCCAGCTTACTTCAGAGCTCAGCTCAGACATCGTCTCTTCCGTGAGGATTCTCCTGATAACCCTCAGGACTTTGTACATATTCATCAATGTACCTGATGTGCCCTGTACTCTCCCAAACAGAATGGGGGCTATGCTCCCTAAGAACACAGAGTAGGCATTTAATAAATGCCTATTAGCTGACCCCAAAGGGAAGGGAAAATAAGCAAAAGAAGATAGAGGGAAAGGCTAGAATTTGGGAAACTGCTAGATTTCTCTGGACACTCCAACAAATTCCACATTCCCCCACTTAAATAATTTTACCAAAATCCCAAAAAAGTTTTGGAATTTAACAAATTCTAAAAATTCCATGTCTGTTATTCATTATCTTGGCACATTCTATTGTAGCCAAGCTACAATCAGAAACTGTTCTCAGACATTATTATCGGCACTGACAAAGTGAGCACCAGCTCACATTTCTAAAGCACTTTCTATGCATTAGTCCATCTGATTCACAGCACAACCCTGTGAGATGGGCACTAATGCTGTTATTATCTGCATTGTGTAGCTAAGGAAACTTTAGGCTCAGAAAGGCTAAGGGATTTGCCCATGGTCACACAGCTTTGTGACTATCGGAGGCAGGACTGGAATTCAGCTCTTCTGACTCCAGATCCAACACTCAGAACATCCGTAACCAGAACATCAGAAAACGAGCACAGAGTCCAGACGGGGGCAAAGAATCCTGGCAACAGAACTGAATCAAAAAGCCGAGCCTCGAGAGGTGAGGCCCCAGGAGCCTCAAGTCTGTGAGCACCTGGACAGGGATATCGGATTTGTCCTCTGAGGTAGCCACGGGAGCATTCCCCTGCCCACCCCCTGCTGGCTGTCACCCTCTTACAAGACAAACCAGAAGCAAGCACCAACACCATGAGCCCCCACAACCCACCAGTCTGCCATTACCCGTGACAGTTTCCATGGCATCCTTCTTTAATTCGCTGCAACAGCCTTTGATACTTCTCTCTCTCCTCTCTCTGAAAACCCTGGGGAAAGGAAGGAAACACTGACAAAAGCTAACAGAGAAATGACTGGCCCACACGCAGAGAATCAATCTATGGGAAGAACCCGGCTTCTGCACCCCCCAGGCAGCAGCTCCCCGAGCCGTTCTGGGCCCTGGACAGCCAATATTCACGGGACACTGTCCAAGGGAGCTGGAGGGCACCATATTTAAAGGCTGTCCTCTGTTCTTCCAGCTTTAAATAGTGCTTACTAAGCACCATGTAAGGCTTTACGCCCACTGTTCTGGGGACTGAGATACAGTCCCTGACCTTATGGATTCCTCATCTGACCATAAGCTGCACAAGGGATTATTTTATCCTGTGTCCTTTTATCCGTGGGGCCTGGCATACAACAGGTGCTTAATAAATGCTTGTTGACTGACATGAAGTTTGTCTAACAGGAAGATGACAAACATAAATGAATTAAAACCAAATAATATAAGATTCAGTGCTTTGGAGAGTTGCAAAGTGCTATGTGAGTTTTGAAGGAGGAGTGGGGGATAGGACAGGAAATGTCAGGGAGGTGACATTTAATTGGACTTTAAAGACGACCCGTAATTCAATAAACGAAGAAGGGAGAGGAAGGACATTTCCAACTCAGATAACAGTAGGAACAAAGAAGGCAGAGAGAAGTGTAGTTTGGCCACAGCCGAGAGGTTCATGGAGGGAAGGGGAAGAGAAGAGCCAAGATAACCAGATCCATAGCCAAGGAAGATTCATGGAAAAGCCACGTGGAGGAGGGGTTAGAGTGGAGAGAGGACGGAGCAGAAGACCTGCTGGGGGGGGGGGGGGGGGGCACTGGGCCAGCCAAGGCAGGTGCTAGTACATCTGAACTTGGGGATGGGCAGCAATGAGAAGAAAGAAAAGGGGACAGTTCAGAGAAATACAGCAGAGACAGAACTGACAAGATTTGGGAATCAAATGAATGTCAAAGGTGAGGGAGAGAGAATACTGACATGCTGAACACAAAGTGAACTGTGAGAAGTAAGAAGCAGGTTTTAGAGAGAGAAACGTGATGAACTAGATTTCGGAGAAGCCGAGTATGGTTGGTTGCTGGCCTTTGTTCTGGAAGAGGACCCAAATGACATCACTGTGTTGGAGTCAGGTTATAGTGCGTCCGCTGTGGCGGAGCAGACCAACGCGAGCTCAGAAGGCTCTAGCACAGGCCGGGCACAAAGAGTCCGTGTGAACCTGTGGGCTGGATTCTCTAACTCTGGGCATTTCGTGTTTCTTTTGAGCTACTGCAATTCTGCTTTGCTCTCATGTGGGCACACCATGCTGGGCGGTCCTGTGCCAGCGTCTCCCTTGTCACAGAGTTAATCCCAAAGCTCTTCAGAGAGAACTTGAGTGTCCTTGTATCACTTCTTTTGACCTCTGTGTGAGCACTTGCCTTGTGTAAGTTCTCCATAAAACAGTTGGTTTTTCTGGCAAACATATTTGGCATTTGAACAACATGGTCAGCCCCTCGGAGTTCTGCTCTCTGCAGCAGAACTCTGTATTCAGTAGAGTCTGAAAGCCTGGCAGTTTGCCTTGAGAAAGGACCTCAGTGTCTGGTACCTTATCTTGCCAGGTGATCTTCAGAATCTTCCGAGTTCAAATGGAAGCAATTCAGTTTCCTGGTACGGCACTGGTAGACTGTCCAGGTTTCACAGTCACACAACAATGAGGTCAGCGCAACGGCTCTGTAGACCTTCAGTTTGATGGGCAGTCTAATATCTCTTCTCTCTCACACTTTCCTTCAGAGCCTCCCAAACACTGAGCTAGCTCTGGCTATACATGTGTCAACCTCATCAATGTGTCCATCTCTGGAAAGTATACTGCCAACAGTAAGTGACCTTATCCACAGTATTCCAAACTACTCCATTTGCTGTAAATGATGGTTCCATATATGTATGGGGTGGTGCTGGCTGGTGGAGCACCTGTGTTTCCTTGGTGTGAACTGCTAAGCCACAATTAGCACAAACAGCAGGGAATCAATCCTCATTGAAGGCATCTGGCAACAATGCTGAGACCATCATGTTAAAAAGCATGGGAGCAAGCACACAGCCTTTTGTTTCACTCCACCGGTGACTAGAAAGGCCCAAAAGTATTGACCATTATCCAGACCCCAAGCAAGGATGCCATCATGAAACTGATGTACAACACCAAACTTCTCCAGGCACCATATTTGGGCAGAATTTTCCATAAGCCCTCGCGACCGACAGTATCGAAGGCCTTAGTCAGATCTACAAATGTTGTATATAGACCTCTGTTCTACTCCTGCCATTTTTCCCTGAGCTGTCAAGTGGCAAACACCCTATCGACCATTCTTTGGCTCTTTCTTAAGCCACTCTGGTTCTCAGGTAGATAGCCATCTTTCAAGTGAAGTTCCAGCCTACTAAGGAGGACTCTGGCAAGAATCTCACCAGTAGTAACTAAGAGAGACTTTCTCCCTGTGATTGTCACAAGACAATCTACGTCTTTTACCTTTATAGAAATGGACCACGGAGACATCCTTGAACTCCTGAGGAATAACCTCCTCTTGCCATATAACCCAGAAAATTTCGGTCAGCTTTTGTAGGGGCAATGGACCACTCCCCCTCCCCACCCCACCACCACCTTGTAAATCTCAGCTGCAACAGAATCAGCACCAGGTGCTGAGGGAAAGACTATGGTGAAGGTCATCCCCATCCAGGTGGCTAGAGCCCAGAGGCAGCTGGATTCAGAATAGCAGTCTGGTCTGGAGACTGAGGTCTGGGAGTCACCACCATAAGGTGCTAGTTGATGCCCATGACAAGAAATGAGGTTGCGGAGGGACAGCAGGTCAGGGGCAAAACCTCAGGGAACACCCACCATGAAAGGGTGGGAAGTACCCAGTAAAAAAGAAGAAACTGGAGAGATAAGAAAACAAGGAGTGTGTGATCTCTCAAAAGTCAAGGGAGAAGGGGATTCAGAAAGAGGGGATGGTCAAGAGTCTCAAATGCTACAGAGGACAGGAAGGGTTGGGACCTAAAAAGTACCAGTTAATTTAGCAATTAGGGACCCAACAGCGTCCTTGGAAAGGCAAAGCTGAGCAGAGTGATGGCGCTGGAAGCCACAGCCAAGAGTGGTGAGGTGAAAGCAGGAAGACAGGAAAGAAGAGAGGACAGATGGTGAGCACCAACTGTTCTGATGAACAGAAGAGAGGAACTTAGGAAGTTCCTATTTCAATTTTCTCAGGAAAGGGGGAGGTTAAGCCATCTCTCGTATTAGGGATTTAACAAACAAATGAGAAGAACTTTTGAGCAGCCCCAAGATTCCACTGCTAGGTCTGCGTCCCAAGGAGGTCAATGAAAAAATGATCCGACATTCAAGAGATATCCATTGACTGGGAAACAGCTGAGTTGTGGTACATGACTGTAATGGGGACTGTTACGCTGTGAGAAATGACGAGTGCAGAGAATCATGGGAAGGACTTGTGTGAACTGATGCAAAATGGCACAGACCCAGGCAAACAACAGAAACAGGACTACCACCATGACACGGAAAGAGCAGCGGCAGCAGCTAAACGGAAAGCTTCAAAATAAGGACCAAGTGCTGCCCCCACTCCCAGGGTAACATCCGATTTCTTTCCACCGGCTGATTAGCTTTTATTCCAGTTCCTTTTCCTTCCCCTTTAAAGAACGGTTTGCTTCCAAGCAGCAAGGTGGTCACACACGGTACATTTATGGGGATGAGGTAGGCTCGATTTCCCCATTGGCTCTCAGGACCCTGGGAGAAAGGGGCTCCCCTCAGGCGGCAAGAGCTGCCAGAGCTGAGGATCCGCTGTCCGAGGCCAGGGGCTTACGAGCAGAAGGTGGCAGAGTCAAGGCTTGACCACAGAGGCAAATTAGGCCAGAACCAGGCCAGGGACCATAAGCCCAAGAAAGGCCCGAGGGACAGAAAGATCAAAAAGCAGGAACGAAGGAAGTGAAGGTGGGAATGGGCAAGAGGCAGACAGGCCTGTGAAACAGTGCGCCCACAGTGCAGTCCTTGAGGTGGTGCTGGGACTGGAGCAACCGTGTGGTCCAAGAGTCAGAAGGGTCCCCGACATTCATCCTGCAGCCCCTAAAGATGACAGTGGGGCAGCAGGGAGGGAAAGCACACAAGTATGGCACTGCCGTCCCTAAGAAAACAGGGCAAGTGACCAGGAGGTCAGGAGGGGAGAGCAGTCACGATGGGCAGAAGGCAACACAAATGGGCACACTGTCCCAAGAGGGCCTGGGAAGAACTTGAAGCCAAAGGGCCTGGGATGGAATCCCAGCTCTGCTTCTTCCTGCTTGTGTGTGCTAAGGCAGTTCCATTGACCCTCTCTGGGCCTTGCCTGTAAGAGGAGAGGATTAAACTGGATGACTCCTAAGGGCTCTCCCCAGCTCTAAAATCCTTCCAAAGCAGAAAGGCCAGCAGAGGCACGAGGGGGGCCACAGTGCAGACAAGAGCAAGGCTGGCCCTGGACGGGGTGTGTGTGCAGGGAGGGCACGAGTTGCTTTCCTCAGTGGGAAGGAAACTTGGCGTTGAAGGGTCAGAGGGAAGTGGGCTGCACATAAAGCACCCCCACCAAACGCAAACACGAGCAATCAGAAGGGTCCAGGCGTCCAGGAAGGCAGGCACAGTTTACCTTCCAGTCAGTGGGGTCCTTGCTGCTCCAACACTAGCAAAGAGAGACCCACAATGATCCCTGGGACTTGCCTCTTCCACAGCACAGCGTGCTCTCCTCAGAGCCCTGCTAGTTTCTGCAGGGGGTCCCTCCGAAAGGTTCCGGTCCTGAACGGGCTGTTTCCAGGCTAGAGAACTGTCTGGGGTAGACTTGACACAGTGACGGCCATTCATTCTTTTGTTATGAACTTCCTGGTTACGAGGAAAACTATTGGATAGAACAGAAATGGTCAACAAGACTGAAACACCTGCTGCCTCTGCATGAATGCTCCAAGACCTGCAGACCCCATTGACAGACGGGGTAGAGGCAGTACTGCGGTATGAACGCCCCAAATACACACTAGCCCTTTGCACAATCATCACAGCATGCGGCTTTGCAGATCTTCACAAGCAGAGGTCCAGATCACAGAGAGCGCGTGGCACAGCTGGGGCTCCAACCTAGGCCTTCCTAGTTTTCCAAGTCTTGCCACAGACCCACTGAACATCTCCCCCACCCCCAGCAGCAACCTTCCCCAAAGCCACAGCCTCCCCGTCCTGGCCACTGGAACTATGCACCCCTCCTGCCTTCCGGGGGAGTGACCAATTGCGAGAACCCATGGGCAGTATTTTTTCACCCATTCCACTGAACCCAGAGCTTGGGGAAGGGATTCGGAATGCTCAAGGCTCAGATGTGTTCACAAAAGTATACCATTACAAGTATTTTAGCTAAAACAGAGATATTTTAGGAGACAGCCTGGGACCAGAGACATCATTTAAAACAACACTCAAAATATATGTATTTTTAGAAAGTTAACTTAAGGATTCAACCTGATCCTAAATGAGAGACTAAGTAACATGGCTAGCAAAGAGCCAGGTAGCTGCCCCTCTTTCTTGGAAGCACTGTCTGCCTCTGAGGGCCTTCCTGAGACTCTCCAGGGCTGGTGGGGTAGTGCAATGGGGCCACATGGGAGGGTCCCCTTCTTGTGCCTAACACTTGTCTTTTACCTGCCTACTGAGACTATGAGGCAAGGAAAGATCTTTCTGTTTATTGTCCTTTTAAAGACTTTATCAGATGCTTTAAGCATCCTAAACAATCAGAAAACAGAAACAAGAAAATGAAAACATTTTAAGAGGTCTTCATAATGTGCTGCAGTTAAGCTGGTAAATTTCTATGCACAGAAAAGCAGAATTATCAGAAGGCAACAATTACCTAAAGGAAGGCATAACGAGGCCGTGGCGTGGTTGATCTCGACTCACTTTATTTGAATGTTTACTTGCTCCATTAAGTGCTTTTTTACCTACAAACAAAAGTATATTAGTAAGTGGGGGGGGGGACTGGAGTTGAAAAGCAAAACTAAGTATTTTGGCTTTCTCAACTAAAATATTTTGCCCAGCAACTTTCCTTCCCCTCTCCAAGGATGAAAACATGACAGGCCCTATCTCAAACTCAAAATAAGTAGAAAGCCTCAAAATCGCTGAGAGACGAGGGCAGCTAGCTATTCTCTGACCTGACACATTCAATAAGCTTTTGGGAAATGTGTGAATGAACAAATCCAAAGGGGATCCTCATGAGCTCTCCCATGGAAACCTCAGTTTTTCTTCTCCTATAGCAGAGAGCATCCAAAATGGAATTCTGAACACTTAACACCTTGGAGGCAGCCTCTCAGCAGAAGGGCTTTTCCCGGGCTGTCACCCTGTGATGCTTGGAACGCTAAACAATTCTAAGAGAATTATTCTAATTGTCATCAGAATTGGCGGACTAGACAAGAAAGACAGCTCCAAGTTACTGGCACAGGGCTAGTCCAATGTCCTGAACCATGCCCAGCTCCACCTTCTCTGTCACAGGCATCATCGAAGGCCTAAAGGAGTGGGCCAGGACCTAGCTAAGGGAAGAGTCTGTTGCACTTTGGAAGACAGATAATCCTGAGTCCAAAGCCTCTTCCAAAGTCCAGGCCTTCTCTACCCTGCATCTCACCTCCCCCCAAATTATCCCATCTCCTGGAGGGGAAGACAGACTACAGCCATTAGTCTTCAATGTCCCTGGCCCCAAGATGATACGGAGAGAATGAGAACGGCTGCAGTCCCCGTGCTTAACCCTGAGATAACGTGGCCGCGAGCAAAGTCAGAGTGACAGGCAGGCAGCTCCACTCAACAGAAGCCCGAATTAAAGGGAACAGACATTCCTGAAGTTTATAGCAATAGTTTTACTCCTCCTCTCCCCCACTACAACTCCAACTTGGTTAGAATGGTTCCCTTTCACATACTGAAAATTAGAAAAAGAAAAAAGAACCCTCTGATAGTCTCTCACCTGATGCAAGCACATCTCTCCAGGGTCCAGATTTGGTCAATTTATTAGATGAACGTTTGGGAAATACCTTAAAAACAAAAAAGAAATGTAATTGAAAAAAATAAAATACCATTTATTAAGTAGGGGGGAAAAAAGACAAGACAAAACAAAACTAAAAAAGAAACCATTATGGTTACAGAATTCATGTTTAAAAAAATAAACTTCATATCAAAATCATCCTAGTGCACAAAATTTAACTGTCTTCAAAAAGATCCAAATTTTAATGTTTAAAACCTATTAAAGTAATGTAAAATAGAAATCCCAGATGCTGAATATACATTAGTTTCTCTCATTAAAATATTAGTAATTATCCCACTTACACAGCTCTTTAATTTTGAAAACGATTTTTCCGTCTTTTGTAATTCTGAAGCCAAGGCCAATCGCCAGGGACCAACAACCCTGGTCTGGCTTTCATTCCCACTGACCTCTGTGGGAGAGCTCCCAGTGTGTGCGCCATTGCAGCCACTAGCCTCTGGGCTCCTTGGGCCGAGGGGGTCCGGAGCGCCAAATAAGTTGGTGATATCCCAGATGCTCTTCTTGACTCGGTGAATCAAGCGATCTACAAATCCAGGGAGCACAAAATGAAAATGTTACAATAAAAGGATTTCTTCTTTCAGAAGGGGCCTCTGCAGCACATGTGAGTAAGCAGATGTACTTACACAAGCTAGAAAGACAAGGGCTCCAGAGTCCAAGCGCCCAGGTTCAAAACACACCTGGGATACTCACTACCTGGGTAACCTGGGGAAGGCGGCTTCCCCCGATGGGCCTCGATTTCCTTCTCTGTAAAATGGCAGGGGTGGGGGTGGGGGTGTTGGCCTCAATGGCCTCTGAGGTCCCTTCCAGATCCCGGTCTAGGACCTGCAATCGAAACCCTAACTTACAGAACACACAGCATCCACCAGTGCCCTTCCACAGATCTGCTGAATGAAGAGAGTCAGGAAAGAAACTAGCAAAGGCTTTTTTCTAGAAACTTCTTCAAGGGAAACAGCAGCAGCTCTGGAAAACCAAAGAGTGCTGCAAAACAGCCAACCCTCCTCCCTCCCCAACCTTCCCACACAGGCAGGCTCTTGCCAGAGAGATGAGGCCCCAAGGCACCGGTGAGAGCCAGCTGCAGGCACCGTCTCAGCCCCTGCCTTCCAACTGGGCTTTAACACAACATCAGATTCAAGGTCAGCGGCCTCACTGAACAGACTCCGTGCGCTCAGTCGGCCCTTCTTGGATCCAGTGGGGCATGCAAGGAGGGAGCCAGAAGCCCCTGTGACACCACAGCCTCGTCCCATCTTCCTGACAGATCCTGGACTGACTCTGAGCTGCCATCATCCATCGGTACAAAGTGGGAAAATCCCTGGGCCTTTGCTCACTCCTTCTCCTCCTCTAAGATCACCCCCCTACACTCCACCCTGCCCGTCTACTACAGCCAACACATACTGAAAACAGCTCATTTGCCCGCTTATATCTTACAGAGTTGTACAGACAGTTTTATATCTCAGTTTCAAAGCATCAAAAAATCTCTTCCCAAAGCAGTTTGACAGAAAAGCAGTTTAGACCGACATCTTAGACCACATACCACAATCAGCTCCAAATGGATACTCAACCTGACTATCTGAGGTCACACCATTAAAAAAAGAAAAGAATCAGAAGGGAAGCAGACCAGGTAACCTTTCACCAAGGCTAGTGGGAAGAACTCTTAACCAAACAAGGGAGAGTGGCAAAGGATATAAAATAGACCATCTTCGTGACATGAAATTGAAAAGTGTTTGCTTAAATAAAACTAAAATAAGGCTAGGGTAAGAAAGAAAGGTGTCAAACAGGGGGAAAAAATCTCTCCATGTATTTCTGAAAAGGTTCTGAAATCTAAGACATATGAGGAACTACACACACACACCCCTACCTCTGACCCCTGACAGGCAAGCATTCAAAGGATACTCGATGGCAAACAATTAACAACTCTATGAAAGATTGCTTCAAATCACAAATCAAAATAATCCTGGGCTTTTGTCTCAATCCAGCAAATGGGCCAAAATGAGGAAAGATGGAACAGTCAGTGCTGGAGAAGTCACACAGACGGCCACACTGATACACTGCTGCGGAAGCTCCAGGTTGGGCTGACCACCCTGAAAGCCAATTTGAAAGTATGAACAAAAGGAAAAAGGGACTGCAATGTCCATGTCCTTTGTTCTAGAGATCCTACATACCAGGAAGTCAAGGGTAGAGATTTCAAAAAGATCCCACACACCAAAATGTTTCAAGCGGCATTTTCCCCCAGTAAAGAACCAGAAACAGCAGATGCCCGTTGGCCTCCATGTTAGCATGGCTAAACGAACCATGGCACATGAATGTCATGAGATGTTATTGTGCAAAAAGAAGCAAGGAATATGAAGAATTCAGGAAAAACAAATGTGAACTGTTGCCGTAAAAGTCAGCTCAACCAGGAAAACAACACAATGACATTGTACAACATAAATGCTGAGGGGCAGGTAGGTGGTGCAGTGGATAGAGCACCAGCTCTGGAGTAAGGAGGATCTGAGTTCAAATCCAGCCTCAGATACATAACACTCACTAGCTGGGTGATTCTGGGCAAGTCACTTAACCCCACTGCCTCACCAAAAAAAAAAAAAGAAGGAATATAAATACTGAGGAAAAAAGCCTCCCCTCCCCCTCCCTGGTAAGCCAAGCCCTGTGCTAGGTCCTGATCATGCCCTCCCATTCCCCCTTGAACCCCTACCCCCCTGCCATGTACTAGCTCTGCTCTGTTCTAACCCTCTGGTGAACCCACCGGTTCCCCTCTCTCCTCTCCTCCTCTCTCCAGTCCCTTGCCCCTTTATTCCACTGAAAAGAAAAGTGAACCACGGTGGTTGCTGTGTGAGTGCAAAGCAGGGAACGGATGCACACGAATCACAGTCAGATTCCACACGGCCGGAGAGCCGAGATGAGGCCAGGGAGGGAAGAACAGCGCTGACGCTGCGGACTCAAGGAAGTTCAGAAGAGGGGCCCCTGGAGGGGAAGATGAGTTCTCTGTTGGAAACAGTGAGTCTGACGTGCCTGGGCTGGTCATGTGGGCAGACTTCTCATGAAGACTGATAAAAGGACGTGGACAAGAGCCAACGGGATGACAAATGGAGCAATCTCAGGAGTGGAGGCTCCTACGCCTCAGAAGGCACCACAAGCCTCTCAAGTATCAGTCGACACATGCAGTTTTTTGGTCGAGAACTTGGGGACTCCCAAGGAAGCCAGGCCAGCAACTGCTATGTAACTTTAGTCTTAAAGTTATCTGAGGCACTGAGACTCCTTGGTTTACTCAAGGTCACACAGCTAGTATATGTCATAAGTGGGATGTGAACTCAGATCTTCTCAACTCTGAGGCTGTTTCTCTATCCGCTCTACCATGGGTGGGGCACCCGCAGCCTTGAGACTACATGTGAGGGGCAGCTAGGTGGCACAGTGGATAAAGCACCGGCCTTGAAATCAGGAGGACCTGAGTTCAAATCTGGCCTCAGACACTTGACACTAGCTGTGTGACCCTAGGCAAGTCACTTAACTCTGTTTGCCTTGAGGGGGAAAAAAAAAGGACTGGACTCAGTTCAAGGCAGGATATTTTAGGGGCAGCTAGATGGTGCAGTAGATAGAGCACCAGCCCTGAAATCAGGAGGACCTGAGTTCAAATACAGTCTCAGAACAAACACTTAACACTTACTAGATGTGTGACCTTGGGCAAGTCACTTAACCCCAGTTGCCTTAAAAAAAAAGAGAGAGAGAGACTACATGTGGCCCTCTAGATTCTCAAGAGTGGCCCTTTGAATCCAAACTTCACAGAACAAACCCTTTTATTAAGGGTCTTTGTTCTGTGAATTTGGGATTCAGTCAAAGGCCGGCACTTGAAGGGCTAGAGGGCCACACGTTCCCCACTCCTGCACTATACCAAGCTGCCTATCTCAGTGGGGCTTATGCAGTAACATTGTCCACTTAAAGACAACTGTCTGTAATGCTCTAGGGGAGCCAGAGAAATGGGGGATCACACAAGATCCACAGACAATATGGGTGCTCTCTTCACCAAAGGGCCCGCTCATCCCTTCCTTCATATTTCGTAGACTGGCTTCGTGAACATCTGTGGCCAAACAAATACCTCTCTCTTTTTTCTCCCTTCTTTCCTGCCTTCTATTTCTTCTTCTTCTACTACTAGTACTACAACAACTACTACAAGTACTACAACAACAACACCTACTACTACTAGTACTACTGCAAGTACTACAATAACTACTACTACTACTACAACGGCACATAGAAAATTGAAAATGAATATTTAGTACCTAATCGTGGTCTTTTGGCTTGTATTTCATCAGTGGCTGGAGTTCTGAGGAAAAAAACAGAAAATCACCATCATTACCTTATCAGGCACAAGAGCTCCATTACACACAAATATACCAAATCATTCCATCATTCCTCCACTCCCACTTTATTACCAAATGGGTTCCAAGAAATGTTCTGAGACAGAACGACACATTATCAATCACTTCTGTTCACACAGAGGAAATTGCATTGTAATTTAGACATTTGAGCCAGCTAAAGGTTTTCTGTAACACTGAAAATAATAACATGCAGCAGAAAATTAACTAAGCAACCAGATCTTTTTGGATTGGAAAACAGCTTATAACTGAAAAAAGCTCATTTATGCTGAAAATCTCAGCACTTAAAATACACTAAAAATTTTACTGAACAGCGCTCACCAAACGGGGTGTAACAATCTCACCCAATCTCACAGCACGTCAGCAGCTCAACACCAGGTACTTTTGAGATCTTAGGAGGGCAACATGAATCCTCTGTCTTTGGCTTTTGAAGACTTTAAGTGAGAAAATAGCACCATGAATGCCATGCAGGCTCAGCACCTGCAAACTTCCTTTCCCCCCTCATCAATTTTAAGATTTCATCAATGAAAATGCAGGGACTTTAGACACTGAACAAACATCCCATGGGCTTTAGGTTAACCAACACTTATTCTTTATTTATTTGCCTGCTAAAGACAAAGCCAGGCAAGGAGCTGGTGGAGATCAAACATTAAATAAGACAGTCTTGACCATCATGGGGCTCACAGTCTCGCAGAAGGCTCTAGAGTAAGAGTCCTAACTTTTTCGGTGCCCCAGAGACATCTGGCAACAGTCAAATGAAGCCTACAGAATCCTCTTCAGAGGACTGTGTTTAAATGCACAAAATAAAACATATAGGATTACAAAGGAAACCAACTATATTGAACTACAGTTATCCAAACAACAACAACAACAACGGTTCACAGACCCCTAGGTTAGGAACCTGTGCTCTAAAGCTACACGTGCAGGTATACAACACAGATTACTACAAAACGTCTCATGGCAACTGCATAAACATGTTAGAAGTCAGAGAATGGCTAAGAGAAGGGAAGAATCCTGACTGAATTCCAAGGTAAAGAGAAATGGAATGTGAAGTAGCACAAGCTTGTGCCAAGAGCCCCCTCCGCTCCCTCTTCCCCCATAAATCTAAAATAAGATGGTGCCTTCTAGATGATTTCCTTGTGAGAACACGGCAGTCACCTTTCCACTCCAGCTCTCATTTCCCCGAACACAACACCAACTAGTTCCCCTCTAACTAGACAAGTCCCTCTGATGACAGCAAGCTCATTCCAGGTAGAGGCAGAGGGCTATCCAAAGAGCTGATGTTAAGTCAAAACGACCTCACTTTTGACATTTCTAACGACATGGCCTTAGGGAAGTAGCTGGAGCCTCAGTCTCCTCAAAAGTGAAACATAGTACAAAATACTAATGCCTATCTTACAAAGTAACAACAACCACAAAAAAAAACCCCAACAACGACAATTAAGCAAATCGGCCCGGACTACAGTGAGGAGCCAGTGGCTCAGGAGGGGGTTTCCACTAATATACAAAGTAACTCGCCCGGCTTTCCATTTCTGACACCCCCTCCCCCAGTTACTTTGTTTCTGCTTATCTTCGCAAGCGCCGTAACCCCAAACAAGAAGGCCACCTCCTGCCCTAAGATGACAGACGTAGAGATGGCCGGAACGCCAGAGGTCACTCGTCCCACGCCCTCATTTACGAAGGAAGCTCCTTCGGGGCTTCGCGCCCCGATTCCCTCTGCCTTATTGGCAGGGCACCGAGCACCGAGTCGGGTGCAAGGTTTGCCCGAGTAGCCAGAGCAGGCCATGCCTAAGGATCGGCCCGTCCACAAGCTCCCACCTGGCGGCGGACGCCGGGGCCTCCACTCCAGAGACCCCGGCCTGGTCAGAGGCCGGAAATTTAGAGCCGCGAAGGGCCTCGCTGGCCATCGAGCCCGACGCCCCGTTTTCAAGACGAGGAAGTGGAGGCGCAGCGGAACAGGAAGTGACCAGGTCCGCGCGCGCGCGCAGGCCAACGAGCCCGGCCCTCAGAAGAGGTGCACGGGCCGAGGTGGGGAAGCGAAGGCCGCAGCCCTGGCCTCGGGGCCGCACACTGCAGGCGCGGCCCCCGCCCGCCCCTCTCACCTGTCCGAGAGCCGCCTCTTGAGCAGGGGCTGCGCTGCGGGCTCGGGGCAGTCGCGCGGCCTCCGGAAGACGGAGTGGAGGACACTAAGCAGCCATCTGTACATACCAGGCCGGCGCGGAAACCGCGGAGGCCGACACGGGCCTAGAGCCGGAGCCCGGAACCGCAGCCGCAGCCGCAGCCGCCCCTGCCACTGCCACGGGCCCCGCCTCTGCCCCCGCCGCCGCCGCCTCCGCCGCCAAGGCCGTCGCCGCCGCAGCCTCAGCCTGGGCCTCAGACGCCAGCAGCCCCACCACGGCAACGTCGCAGACTGGTGACACCGCCCCAGAGCCCACCGGAAGTGCGTCCCCACGGCGTGGGCGCTGGTCATTGACGTCACCGGCCCCCTCCGCTGAGTCGCGCCGCCTCGGGCCTCGGTGCGCTGGCGCATGCGCAGACGCCCCCGCCCCGCCCCGTCCCCGCTCGACCGTAAGAACAAAGCTTAGCCCAGCTCGGGCCCGGACGAGCCAAGCTGGTTCGGGGGCGGGGCTATCGCCGCCCTTCCGCCAATCCTGCGGCGCGGGGGACGGAACGCGACACCGCCCACCGTGCCCCCCCCCCCAATGCTCCCTTTCGGGAGGATGGAGCTGGAGGCCTCTAACGGGGCACGGACGGCCGTTGGGCTGGAGCGGGCCGTGCGCGCAGCCGTTAGTCGCCGGACCTGTGACCGTTGGTGCCCGGCTCCCCTCGCAGAGGCGTCTGGGGCGGGTTGTGCCCGCGCATGCGCCATTGTCTCTCCGGCCTCCCCCAGAGTGGTCCTCGGGCCTCTGCTGGAATACCTCCAGGGAGGGGGGCTCGCTACCTTCCCGGGGAAGCGCCCACCCCCCCCCCCCCCGAGGGCAGCTCAGGGGTCACCCGACCCAGGATGGAGGAAGGATGCATCGTCACTTCTCCATCAGACCCCCAGAGTGGTCCTCGGGCCTCTGCTGGAATACCTCCAGGTTGGGGGGCTCGCCACCTTCCCAGGGAAGCCCATCCCACCTGGGCACTGCTTAGACGTCTTCCGCTCCGTCCGTCCCGTGCCTGCCCATCTTACCTGAATCCACATCCCTGTACTGCCCCCTGCATGGCACCCTCCAGCCTCCACGGGCAGTGATTCCAGTTGGGAGCAGCTCTAGCTTGCTGGGCAGTCACTCGAAAGGGAGTTTTTCTTTATATTGAGCAGCAGTCTACGTATCCCCATTGGTCTCAGTCTTCTCTGCGTGGTGACGTTAGCAGAGTAGAGGCTAATGATTGAAAAGATGTTGGGTTTGTACTTTTTTTTTTAATAGTGGTCTACCACTATCCCCTCTCCAAAAAATAAAATAAAATAAAATAAAAATAAGGCAGAAAAAAATGCCTGTTCGCCAAAAGTCAGATTCTGCTTTTAGAAGTCAATTAACATTAAGCACCTACTAGGTGCCAGTCCTGGTGCTAAGTAAAGGGAATATAAGGAAAGCAAAAGACAATTCCTGCCCTCAGGGAGCTCACAGTCTAATGGGAGAGACAACATGCAAACAACCATGTACAAATAAGGTATGGACAGGATAAATTGGAGCTAATCAAAACGGAGGTACTAGCAATAAAAAAAATTAAAATTATTCAATTAAGTTAAATACTTAAATTTGCATAAAATTTATTTGAGCAAAAAAACTAATAAATTCAGCAAGCTGAATTCTAGCGACAGTCCTAATGCATTACTTTATTGGTATTTACTTGACACTAGCAAGCATATTGCTATTTTTTTTCTGATGCAAAAAAAGAAAAAATTAGGAACACGTAAGGGTCAAAAAACTAGAAAGCTCATGTGCTAATCAATTCCCCAGTCGATTGTCCTATCTTTTGATTTCAGCTCCTGTCCTTATCAAGCTAATACTCACAGTGCCCTACAGATATATCTTGTTAATACTGGGTTTACAACTCATAGATTTAGAACCTGAAGATAGAAATTGTCTAGTCCAACATTCTCACCTTCAAAATAAAAGAAAATAAGGCCCAGAGAGGTAAATGAATTTACTCAACATCACAATTCCCAATGCTTCATTTATGTCCACTTGGTTGGAGCCTTTCAAGTCTTTTTACTCTCCTAATCTTACCCCATTCTTCAGGGCCCAGACCAAAATGCCATCTCTAACTGCCTTGACTGGTGCAGTCAGCACTGACCTTTCCCACTAACATATACTCAAATACTCAATACTACTACTGCTAAAAGTAATTTGTTGTTGTTCACTTGTGTCCTATTCTTTGTGACCCCATTTGGGGTTTTCTTGGCAAAGATACTAGAGTGGTTTTCCATTTCCTTCAGCCATTTTACAAATGAGGAACCTGAGGTCAAAGGTTAAGTGACTTGCTCAAGGTCCCACAGCCAATGTCCGAGTCCAGATTTAAACTCAGGTCTTCCTGACCCCAGGCCCAGTGCTCTTCTCTACTGTGCCACCTAGCTGCCCTAATAATAATAATTATAACATTTACTCCTTTAGATTGTGAGCTTTTTAAGAAACAATTCACAACTTCATCCAGGAGAATGGCGATAATGAGATGACATTCCAAAACTTCCAGGATACGGCGAAAGCAGTTCTTGGGAGAAGTTTTATATCTCTAACTGCTTACATGAAAAAAGTAGAGAAAGAAGAGATCAATGAATTGGGCATGCAACTAAAAAAGCTAGAAAAAGAACAAATTTAAAATCCTCAAACACCAAATTAGAAATGCTGAAAACCAAAGGAGAAATTAACAAAATTGAAATTAAGGAAACTATTGAACTAATAAATAAAACTAAGAACTGGTTATATGAAAAAAAAAAACAATAAAATAGATAAACCTTTGGTTAATTTAATTAAAAAAAAGAAAGAAAACCAAATTACCAGTGTCAAAAATGAAAAGGGTAAATCCACCACCAAGGAAGAGGAAATTAAAACAATAATCAGGAGCTATTTTGTCCAACTGTATGCCAGTAAATTTGACAATCTTAGTGAAATGGATGAATATTTACAAAAACATAAATTGCCCAAATTAACAAGAAGAGTAAGTAAATTACTTAAATAACCCCATCTCAGAAAAAGAAATTAAATAACCCATTGATGAACTCCCTAGGAAAAAATCTCCAGGGCCAGATGGATTTACAAGTGAATTCTATCAAACATTTAAACAACTAATTCCAATACTATATAGACTATGTGGGAAAATAAGCGAAGAAGGAATCTTACCAAATTCTTTTTGTGATACAAATATGGTCCTGATACCTAAACCAGGAAGAGTCAAAACAGAAAGAAAATTATAGACCAATTTCCCTAATGAATATAGATGCAAAAAGTTTAAATAAAACATTAGCAAATAGATTACAGCAACTTATCGCAAGAATAATACACTATGACCAGGTAGGGTAGGATTTATACCAGAAATGCACAGCTGGTTAAATATTAGGAAAACTATCAGCATAATTGCTCATATCAACAACAAAACTAACAGAAACCACATGATCGTCTCAATAGATGCAGAAAAAGCTTTTGACAGGGAACAACACCCATTCCTATTAAAAACACTAGAGAGCATAGGAATAAATGGAGTCTTCTTTAAAATAGTAAGTATCATCCTCCTAAAACCTTCAGCAGGATCAGATATAATGGGGACAAGCTAGAAGCATTTCCAATAAGATCCAGGAGTGAAGATCCATTATCACAAATGTTGTTCAATATCATACAGAAATGTTTATGTTAGCAATAAGAGAAGAAAAGAAATTAAAGGTATTAGAATAGGCAAAGAAGGAACAAAGCTATCACTCTTTGCAGATGATATGATGATATACTTAGAGAAGCCTGGAGAATCAAGTTAAAAACTACTTGAAATAATAAACAACTTTAGCAATCTTGCCAACTATAAAATAAACCCACATAAATTATCGGCATTTCTATATATTACCAACAAAACCCAGTAGCATGAGATAGAGAAATTCCATTTAAAGTTACTGTAGACATTATAAAATATTTAGGAGTCTACCTCCTGAAACAAACCCAGGAATTATATGAACACAATTACAAAACACTTTTCACACAAATAAAGTCAGATCTAAATAATTGGAAAAACACCAGTTGCTCATGGGTAGGCCGAGCTAATATAATAAAAATGACAATTCTGCCTAAGCTAATTTACTTATTTAGTGCCATACCAATCAAACTACCAGAAATTTATTTTATAGAGCTAGAAAAAATAATAACAAGATTCATTTGGAATAACAAAAAGTCCAGAATATCAAGGGAACTAATGAAAAGAAATGCAGGGGAAGGTGGCCTAGCTGTTCCAGATCTTAAATTGTGTTATAAAGCAGCAATCATCAAAACTGCTTGGTACTGACTAAGAAATAGAGTGGTGGATCAGTGGAATAGGTTAGGTATGCAAGACACAGTAGTCAATGACTACACTAATCTACTATTTGATAAATCCGAAGACCCCAGCTTCTGGGTAAGAACCTACTATTTGACAAAAACTGCTGGGAAAACTGGAAAAGAGTATGGTAGAAACTAGGAATAAACCAAAATCTCATACCATATACCAAAATAAAGTCAAAATGGGTTCATGATTAAGACATAAAGGCTGATACTATAAGCAAACTGGGAGAGCAAGGAATAGTTTACCTCTCAGATTTATGGAGAACAGAAGAATTCATGACCAAATAAGATTTAGAAAATATTATGAAATGCAAAATGAATAATTTTGATTACATGAAATTGAAAATTTTTTGCACAAACAAAGCCAATACAGCCAAGATTAGAAGGAAAGTAGAAAATTGGGAAATAATTTTTACTACCAGTCTCTCTGATAAGGGCCTCATTTCTAAAATATATAGAGAATTAAGTCAAATTTATAAGAATACAAGTCATTCCTCAACTAATAAATGGTCAAAGGATATGAACAGGCAGTTCTCAGATGAAGAAATTAAAGCCATCTGTAGTCATATGAAAAAATGCTCTAAATCACTATTGATTAGACAAATGCAACTCAAAACAACTCTGAGGTACCACATCACACCTATCAGATTGGCCAACATGACAAAACAGAAAAAGGATAAATGTTGGAGAAGATGTGGGAAAATTGGAACACTAATTCATTGTTGGTGGAGTTGTGAAATGATCCAACCATTTTGGAGAGCA